ACTAGTAGTAGTAGTAGTAGTAGTAGTAGTAGTAGTAGTAGTAGTACTAGTAGTAGTAGTAGTAGTAGTGGTGGTAGTAGTAGTAGTAGTAGTAGCTGTAGTAGTAAGAGGAGGAGGAGGAGGAGGAGGAGGAGGAGGGACACAGGGAGGAGAAGGATGGGGACAAGAATCAGGAGGAGGAGGGGAAGGACGAGGAGAAACATAACAGAAAGAGAGAGAGAGAGGCCGAGATGAGAATGAGGAGGAGTGCAGCTCAGGACGACCCCTGCTCCCCCTCTTCCAGATCCTTTCTCCTACAACCCATGCTCCTCTTCCGCCTGACCCTCCTTTCTCCCTTCTGCCTCCTCCCTTCTTCAACCTCCCTGCCTCCCTCCTGCATCTTCCCCCCATCTCCTCGCATCCTCCTCCTCCTTCTCATCATCATCATCATCATCAGCATCATCATCAGCAGCATCATCATCATAATCATCATCAGCATCATGAGCATCATCAGCATCATCAGCATCAGCATCAGCATCAGCATCAGCATCATCATCATCATCATCATCATCATCGTCATCGTCATCGTCATCGTCATCGTCATCATCATCAGCATCATCACCATCAACATTCTGGAGCCCTTTGCTCATGCTCTTTGTCCCCCTCCTCGTCCTGCCAACTCCCGCTCCCTCCCGTTCTTCTTCCTCCCTGTTCTCTCCTCCTCCTGCTCCTCCTCCTCCTCCCTCTCCTCCTCCCTCTCCTCCTCCTCATCCGCCTCCTCCTTCTCCTCCTTCCTCTCCTCCCCCTCCTGCCACGTTGTCCCCGTCACGCCCCCCCCCCGACGCGCTCCGCCGTCCGCGGGAGCCACGTCAGCAGCTTCGCGGGGCTCGGCGACCCCGCCTGGCGGGGCGCGAGGCGCCCGGAGGCAGGGCAGGCACGGGCAGGCACAGCTCGGCGGCGAGCGGGGCGGGGCGGCATGCACGGCCCGGAGGCAGAGCATGCACCAGCATCACCACGCCCATTCCTCCACCCCCCTCTGCCCTCCTCTCCCTCCGTCCTCTCTCCCGGGAGAGGGCGGGGGTGAGGGTGGTGCTGGTGGTGTGTACTCTGGGGCGGCGGGACTTTTCAGAAGCCCCTCGCGCCTTCCGAGCAGTGCTCCCCGCGCCCCTGGGGAGGGCCCAGAAAGCTTCCCAAAGGCCGCGGGACTGCCCAGCCCTCTGAGACGGCCCGCCCCGTCTCGTTTCCTCCCCTCGCTCGCCGCCGAACAGGAGACGGAGGCCTCCCCGCTGGGGTTCGAGCAGCCGGGGGCGGCGGGTGGCGCCGCGTGCGTCGGCGGTGCGGCTCGGCGTGGAGCCCAGAGGCCCGGAGCAGAGCCCAGGAGGGGGCACCTCGCAGGGGGCCGGCGACGGCGGCACGAGCGCGGAGCGAGCGAGCGGTGTCCGCCATCGCCGGCAGGCCCGTCCGTCCCTGCAAGGGAGGCGGACGCGCCTGTGGCACGCAGGCCGTCAGAACTGGTAAATGGAAGCCTCGCTTAGGGCGCGCGGTCAGCGCCACGCGTGCTGCATACAACGGTTCTTGCTCTCCTGCCACGCCGTCTGGCTCGATGCCGTAACCGCCCAATGGGACGCACAAGGGCATCCTAGTACTTTGCATCCTTCTCGGAGGCGTGCGTCCGACCGGAGAATACAGTAAAAACAGATTGTAGCCTATCGTTTCTCAAGAGGTACGGCCAGAAAGCGCCCGCCACGATGCCTATAATAGAATAAGATTTCTCGGTGCGCGCGTCGCCCCTGGGGGGGGGGCGGGCGACGCACAAATAGTATTTAGCATGTTGGGGTGTCGCCGGCCCAAGACACGAGCAACGAGCGGGAACGGACGACGAGGCGACATGTGGAGAAGGAGGAGGAGGAGGAGGAGGGGGAGGAGGGGGAGGAGGGGGAGGAGGAGGAGGGGAGGAGGAGGAGGAGGAGAGGAGGAGGAGGAGGAGGAGGAGGAGGAGGAGGGGGGAGGGAGGAAGAGGGGGCGGAGGGAGGAGGAGGAGGAGGAGGAGGAGGAGGAGGAGGAGGAGGAGGAGGAGGAGGAGCGGGGGAGGAGGAGGAGGAGGGGGAGGAGGGAGGAGGAGGAGGAGGAGGAGGAGGAGGGAGGAGGAGGAGGAGGAGGAGGAGGAGGGGAGGAAGAGGGGGCGGGGGAGGAGGAGGAGGAGGAGGAGGAGGAGGAGGAGCAGGAGGAGGAGGAGGGGTAGTCAACGTCAGCACTCTGCCTCGGGCAGCCCAAGGGCCGCCGCACGTCGGGAGGCGGCGGAGGCCAGGGTCCGCATCGTACCAGTGAAGGCCTGACCACAGGAACCCTTCCACAAGGAACCCAACCCTGAGACCCCATCCGTGGAATGTGCGGTGTCGGAGCGTCCCGCTGCCCGTCGCAGAGCCGTCGAAGCCCGCAAGAAACCCAGGGCACCCCCGGAGGCGAGCAGGGTGCCCCTCGGCACGGGTCTGTCTCCACTGTGCCATCACCATCACCGGAAGCCCTGGGATCCGGGCGTTGCAATTGTTGCTCCAACTGCGCCTCAACAGGCATTCTCGCCCAGCATTGGGCCCCGGGGGGCATCACAGCTCGATCAGGCTCGAAAGCTACCGTAGATAGATGGGGTCCAGGGCCTTGGTTGTGATTGCTCGCGGTGCTGCAATTGTTTCGCAACGTCAGATATCAAAAACACTGCCAACTTCCCAGCAGGAATGAGGCGGAGGGAGACGGAAGCGGGAGGGCCTCCTTCTTGGCCCCTTTTCCCGATCCCCTCCTCCTGCTCCTCCTCGTCTCTCTTCGTCTCACCCTCCTCCCTTGTCCCTTATCCTCCTTCTCCCTCCCTCGCTCCCTCCCTTTCCACTTCCTCCCTCCCTGCGACAGGTTCGTATCGTGTTGACTACCTGCCAGACCACCCCAACCCAACCCGAAGACCCGAAGACCCGAATTTCGGGTTGGGGGGGTACGGGTTCCACGCGTGTTTTCTCTATGTTTCCCGACCCCCCCCCTACTAGAAATCGAGGGTAAATCTGAGCCTTCGGGTTGGGTTGGGGTGGTTTGGTGGGTGGTGAGTTGACTTCGGCGTTGGTTCCTGACACCGCGGGGATCGTTCAACCTTGAACGAAGAGACGTCTCGGAAACGTCGGATCGTTCAACGTCGACCGATTCTAGGTCGCCGGCGGCGTTCAGCGTTGAACGCCCGCGGCCGGGTAGCCCGCCGGTCGACACGGTGCGAACCTGTCGTACATCTCTCCCAAACTGACTACCTACCAGACCACCCCAACCCAACCCGAAGACCCGAATTTCGGGTTGGGGGGGTAAGGGTTCCACATGTGTTTTTTCGATGTTTCCCGACCCTCCCCACTGGAAATCGAGGGTAAATTTGAGCCTTCGGGTTGGGTTGGGGTGGTTTGGTGGGTGGTGACAAACCTCCCTCCCCTCCTCACGCCCCACCTCCCTCGTTCCGTCTCATCGCCTTCCTTCTCTCCCCGCGCGTGCGCGGGAGCGCGCGGCGGGGAGGTGGGAGGAGGATGGACATGTGGGGCGACGACAAAGAAGGTTGGAAAGGTTAGGTCGGGCATGTCCCCCTACAGGCGAAGGTTGAAGGAAACGGAAGCAAGTCAAAACTACACAACAAGATTCGAAGATAGTCGAAACATCGTCCACTGACTGTTTTTTGACTATTCTTGAGTATTCCTCGACAGGCCTGGCTTAATGGAAGGGGGAAGGAAGAGAATATATGTAGCATCTTCAGAGGGCCCTGTCTGTCCCGTCACGCCGCTGTCCGCGTCGATTCCGCGCCGAATCCATGGTAGCCTCGTCGGATCCGCGCCGAATCCGCGTCAGGTCCGCTTCGAATCCGCATCGCACCCGCGTCGGGCACAGTGAAACAGATCAGCATTGAGGACACAGGGCCCCCCGAAGATGCAACGTGAGAGAAGGACGAGGAAGATGAGGAAGATGTTGTCCAATGCGCTCGGCGGTCTTTGGAGCTTCCCGGAAGCACCTTCGATGGCCCTCGGGGTTCTTCGGGGGTTTCCAGAGGCTGCTAGACGGGCGGAGACAGTGGCAGGAACAGAAAGAGAGGGAAGAATGGGAAGATTGGCACGGTCCAGGGGAGGGGGGCGCGACGACAGAACGTGCACGTCATATCATAGCGTGCATGGCGTTCGCGACGACGGGACGTGCACAGATATGCGCTCTCGAAACTCCGCGCGGATTTCTTGGACCTGCGCCAGGGGCGGCGCCGGAGAAGCCTCCAAGCGGGCCGAGCGCAGGCTGCGTGTGCTCATGCCGATGTTCCTTCTTCGAATGCCATGGCCCCTCTTGTTACCAGCCTGGAACACATCCCTATCCCTGTGCTGGGCATCTCCTCATCACGATGCTAATCTTAGGGATTCCATTATTTTTTGAGGGCGAATCCACAAGATCGTCATCGCCTTTTGGCGTGTCAATCTTAGGGATTGGGATAAGTCCGAGGCTGGTAATCCTGTGCGGGGACACCAAGCGACCACGACCACATCGAGGACACACCCTCGGGGATGCCCTGCGCATGCCAGCAGTTGTCACGACACCGAGCCCAGCACAGTGCTGGTGGTGGTCGATGGGGCGTTCCAGGAAAGCCACATCGACCACAACCACAATGTTTACATCCGCGGGTCGAGAGCTCACCTCTTCCGGTCGAAGCTAAGCGGGCCGCGCGAAGCTCGAATTAGGCAGCGAAGAGGAGGGAGGAGGCGGCGGAGCCTCCGAGCGAGGCCGAGAGGCGGCTCCATCGACCACAGCCACAATCTCAAGGTGGAGTCTTCCCTGAGGGACCCTCCCGAAAAATCAACTCAGTTGCAATTCTGACTCTTTGATGTGCCCAGATCTGGGATTTGGACGCCCGAAATGGGTACCGAAATAATGGGTACAATGCCCAACAACAAATGTTGTCCCAAACCAACAGCGGCCGCTGTTGGGCAGGCGGCCTTCTGTCTCAAATGGACACAGGCCGCGGCGGCGTGGACAAGATCCGCTGTTGGGCATTGTACCCATTCTTTCAGTACCCATTTCGTGCGTGCAGATGGGAAGAGGGCCGCTGGGATCGCCAAGGTCCCGAGCGCACCGCCCTCCCATCCCCGCGGGGCCTTGCCCTGTGCGGAGAGGCCCTCGGATCCCGCCGCGGCAGCGTCGGCGAGGAGCTGGACGCTGACCGCGGACACGGCCTCCGGCGAAGGGGGGATGAGGGGCAACGTCTTGGCTCAGACGGGACTTCGAACGGTGCCCCTGGTCCAAGGTACCCCCAGCTTCTCGCTCCATGTTGGACCCCGGGGGGCCCTCTAGGCTTCGTGAGGGGTGCTCCTCTGGAGGCCGTGGGAGCCTCCTTGGAAATCCTCGGGGCATCGTGGGCCAGGGGCACTTCTATCAGCACCCGACGAAAGGCACCTCAGGGGGGGTACACATCGACGCGGAATCGGCGAGACATTGCCGACAGATCGGCGCGAGACCACGATAGCGACTCCGCACGCTCCTGGGCGAGGTGGGCCGTTCTACCCCGTATCAGCAATGACTGGACGATTAGACGCCGATGCATATCCCCCCCGGAGCCTATCCCCCCCTACACTTGGGCGCCCGAGTTATCCAGGGTAACTCGGGTCCGGGGTAACTCGGGCTTGGATTCCCGAAAAATGATCCCGAGTTAGCCCTGACCCGAGTTACCCCTGATGATTCGGGGCTCTGGGCGCCCGAATTATCCGGGGCAACTCGGGTCCGGGGTAACTTGGGTTCGGATTCCCGAAAAAACGAACCCGAGTTCGCCCCGACCCGAGTTACCCATGATGATTCGGGGCTCTGATACACGTCGGTCGGACGAAATAGGTAAAAACAGGAGGGTTGGAAGGCGGATAAAGCAGAGTGGGCGGCTCAGGCCTTCCCAGATAATAACAGAACACAGCATAAACATATCGCATCTTGAAGTCGGAAGGCGCTCGAAAAGATTGGGATCTGGGAATCCAAAAGTATCCACTTTTAACGACCGGCGTGCAAAGGTAATCATGAAGAAACTGGCACGCGTGCAAAGATAGGCGCCGTCTGACGATCACCAGCTCCGGCCGGCCGCCAGATTGGCTCTGCAGGCGCAGGTTTGGGGAGGCAACTCCTGGGAGGCCCTCGCAAAAACGACTGAACGAAATTAAGCCCGATTGGAAGGCCGTCGATCCAGATTAGCAGGTCAAACCCGGGATTGAGCCCGACGGAAGCAGATTGAGCGAAGCGAAGCGGAACTATGCCAGATAAGGCCAGGTCTCGACCACAAGTCTACCAGCGCCATGGCTGAATCCAACTTCAACCTCCAGGGAATTGCATCCTAAGACGGTTGATGCGAGCGCACAAGGGAGGGAGCGAGAGAGAGAGGTGGTGGCGGGAAAGCTGCAGGCCCGTACAAAACCGAAGAGCGGTGAAAGGACAAATCGCAGGCGACGAATGACACTTTTCGGCATGAGCGCATACTGATCCGCTTCTCATGCTACTGTGTGGACGGACGTGGGTGGACAGGGTGCACGAAGAAGGAGGTAAATAAAGCAACTGCACGCAACTGTTTTCACTGGAGCCGGCAGGTACTTGGAGGCGCGGCCGAGCACCAGCTGCATGTAGAAATGTTCGTAACTCCAGTTTCGTCCGCCCCGACGGACGAAACTGAAAGGGCCCTAGGACACACAAATACATAGACACAAATAACTGGATTCACCATATGTTCCTATCTTTTCTGTGTTTTTGTCTTCTCCCCCCCTTCCCATATTTTCCCATGCTTTCTGGGGAATCGACGGTTGATTGTGTCTGTGTGTTTTCCCCTCGCTCTCGCCTGCGGCGTCGAAACGATTCGCGTCAGTACCCCGCCCGACCCGCCCGTCAGGGCCAACCCCGCCGGACCCGCCACTTGGTGATCGCTGGCTTTCGGCGGCCTGGAAGCCCGAGCGCTCGCTTTCAGGCTCCGCCCGACCAGCCCAGTCGTAACCAGCCTCGAACTGATCCCTATCCCTAAGACGGGCGAGCAAAAGGGCGAGGACAACCTTGGAGATGTGCCTCCAGAGACTGAGGGAGTCCTGAAGATCGGCATCGTGCTTGACCTGCCGGCTAGTGTCAGCCCGTCCGCTTGCTTGGAAGCCTGCTCGCCAATTGAAATGCCCCGCCCGCCCGGCCCACCCGTCAAAGTCAGCCCGCCCGACCCGCCGGTCAAGGCGCACTCGCTAATCTTGCTACTCCTCTTCCCCTCCCGCTGAACTTCATTCGTTCTTAACATTCCGCTCTTCCTCTTACCTCCGTCCCTCATCGCTGCCTTCTCCCTGTCTCGCTCCATCATTCCTTCCTTTCTCCCTCCTCCGCCTAGTGCAGGTGCCACACCAAGTGCACGTGGCAGGCATGGAAGATATGCCCCACCGAGGAGAGTCACGATCGCGGACGCAGAAGGCGAGCGCCGAGGTTTTGGGGGATACACGCGTCGAGTACCGCGCTAGCAGCGAAGAGCCAGCAGCCTCAACGTGAGCAGTGCTGCTTGTATTGATCCCGTCGCCGTCGGCGCGGGTGGGTCGCGGCGGGGGCGGACGGGTCGCGGGCGGGCCGCGGCGCGGGTGGGCCGCGGCGCGGGTGGGCCGCGGTCGGGTTGCCGAGCGGGTGGGTCACAACCCACCCGCGCCGCGACCCGCCCGCGCCCCCTCACTCCGAACCGCGTCTGCGGGGCCAGGCAATTGGTGCGCGCTGGACCGCGTTCCGCCAAGCGAAAGGGTCGCATACCCGACATCATGCCACATCGCTCCTTGTGAACGGACGGCCTGCTGGTGGTACCTCCACTGCCATTTCCCGCCCTCCTACCCCTTACTCACCCTCTCGATCGCGCAACAAATATCCACGGGCTCAACTTGTTCGAAACATGGCCCCTGAACCTTGCGGCCTCCTTCTAGGGTCTGGCTACTCATCCCGTTTCGTTCCGTGGTGGCCCTCGGAATCTCAACTGGCCTCTGGAGGCCCTGCATGGCGAAATACTCTGGCCTGTTCAGTCTGTGATTGAGCCGCTTGATGCCTCGCCCCCTTGATCGCGCATCGACCCAACCGCTGTCGCCAACCGGACCGGCTGGACGTAGAGCCTCCTCCGGGGCGCGTGTCGAGCAGCTCACGCAGTCGAGCGAGAGAGAAGAATGAGGAGCAGGAAGAAGAAGAAGAAGAAGAAGAAGAGGAAACATAAGAAATAGGCGACGAGCAGGAGCGAGGGTGGGGCAGCAGGCGCAGGAACAGAGCGGGAGTGGACGAGGGGAGGAGGAGGAGGAGGAGGAGGAGGAGGAGGAGGAGGAGGAGGAGGAGGAGGAGAGGAGGAGGAGGAGGAGGAGGAGGAGGAGAAGAAGAAGAAGAAGAAGATGAATGAGAAGAAGAAGGAGGGAGGACAAGGAGGGAGGCAAAGGAAGAGGAGGATGAGAAGAACGAGGGAGGAGGAAGAGAAGGAGGAGGAAGAGAAGGAGGAAGAGAAGGAGGAGGAGAAAGAGGACAAACACATGAGGACGGGTCACACAGCCTTCCCTGGAAGGGTCCCCGAGGGGGGGGGGGCCTGCGCAGCCTGGAACAGGACCGCCATCGGCAGCTGCTGCTGTGCGTTGGGCTCCGCGAGCAACAGCGACAGGAACTGTGACGTCTTCAGCAGCAGCTGGCGGGCGCGGGCTACGCAAGGGACCAGGACTTGGCCCCTCTCTGACCCGCACGTGAAAGGCCCAGGCTGGAATCGGGGCAGGCAAGTGGCGCTTCCCCGGCGCTTCCCCGCGCGAGGGTGCCGCTCTGCTGCCGCTATTCGCCGTGCTGTCAGGCCGATGTCAACGCAATGCCATGCCAATGCGCCCTGGACGTGCACGGCGATCTGTCTTTCTTTCTTGTTTGCTTGTTTTCTCTCTCGCTCTCTCTCGACATACATATAGATACACATCTAGATATCAGTCGCTCTCCTTCTCTACCCTTCTACCTCTCAATCTCTCTCTTTCTCTATCCTTATCCCACCTCCTCCCCCTCTTTCCCTCGCTCTCTTTGTCTCTCCTCTCGCCCCAAGAGGGCCCCAAGTCAGCCCAGAGAGGCCCACAAGACCGCTTCCGACGGCATCAGACGGGCCAGGAACGTTCTCAGAGAGCCACAAAGCCTCCCGAGGAGCTTCCAAAGGCACCCGAGGGGCCCAGATGCCTCCGACAGGCCTCCAAGAGGCCCCCAGGAGGCGCCCAGGAGACCCCGAGTGCCCCAAAAGCTTGCAAGAGTCCTCTTCCGTCTCCTCCTCCTCCTCCTCCTCCTCCTCCTCCTCCTCCTCTTGCCCCTCCGTTTTCCTCCCTCGTCCTCTTCCCGCTCCTCTCCCAAAAGCTCCCCGAAGGGTTCCAACAATGGCTGAGTGGATACACAGTCCGACAGCGTGGCCGAGCTCAGGCCACAAAGTTCTGCCGCATAGGCACTCCCAGGAGGCAGGAGTTGGCGGTGATTCGCCGTAGGACTACTCGATCAAGCTCTCAGTATCGGCTTGGCGATGGCGACACCGATCACCACAACGGCACACAATTAAACAATCCTGGCCACCGTGGACCGCCACGGGGTCAGTGTTCGATGTAGCGACATCAACAGGGGACACCATGGTAGACTAATAGTATGCCGCTTCATGTGCCATTGGAACTGAACGCTCTGTGGTTCGTGGTTGATGTTAGCGTTAGCGCTGCCGTGCTAACTTAATGTCTCTTCAACTGCCATTGAAACGGTGTGCAGCGTTGTCGTCTGATCTAGCAGGATGCTTCTTCACCGCGGGACAGCGCAGTGTTCTACAAGGCGGTGCTGCTGTGGTACGAGGGCTTATGCTGAGATAGGCCGTGCTGCACTCTGCTGGCTGTGCATTTGCCGTACTACGCCATATGGCACGAGCGTGCGCGCGACAATTCCACGCGGAGTGCATGGATTTTCCTGTCGAAAGACTGCCCGGCACGCTCTCGAAGGCAACGGTGGCAACACCGCTGGGAACCTGTGCTTCGTGATGGGCCTGTTTTCCACCACCACCACCATAAGTTGGAGGGAGGAAGGAGGTAGAGGATAAGGAGGAGGAGGACGAGGAGGAGGAGGAGGAGGAGGAGGAGGACCCCCTCCCCCTCCCACTTATGGTGGTGGTGGTGGAAAACACACCCACCACCTGTGCTTCGCGTGTGCCACGGCCCGCGGGCGGAAATCGCGTGCCGCTGCGCGAGGCGCGAGGCGGGAGAGGCCGGGGGAACGCTCGGGGCGCGGACGCTCGGGGAGTGTCGTGCCGCAGCGCGGTGGTCCAGAGCAGGAGGCTGGCCATCGCTCGGACGCCCATTCCCCGTGTTTTTTCGGCCCCCAAACCGCCCCCACGAGGGTTCAAAACGGCCCCCAAGAGGCCACCGAGAGGCCTCCCGCGACGACATCCCAACGAGCGTCCACGACGCCTCAGACCCACAGCCTGGGCAAGGTGGCGGCATGGGCCGAAGGCCAGTATGTACAAACACTGGCCATAGCTCGGACGTCCATTCCCCGTGTTTTTTGGGTTTCGTGCGTGTTTTTTTTCGCCCAAGGATCAAGGATGCTCCTCGATGGTCCTCGCCGAAGGAAAAAAAGGCACACGTCCGAGCGATGCCAAGGGAGGCGCGGCACGCTGAGAGGGTGCTTCCGAACGTGTTCAAGCCAGCAGAGGGAACCGGCAACCGCACACGAGGAATCGAGCACCATGCAGCTCTGGGAAGATGCCAGCTCTCATCATCCCTTCGGAGAGACAGTGCCACCCCAAAGCCGTAGACGAAGACGGGCCAGGATGTCATGAACTAGCACATGAGCAAGGGACCACGAAAAGAGCTCCCAGCCCTCACCCAACACCATTCTCGTCCACCCTGCCTCCACCACGCACATGGCCCACTCTGAAACGCCCTGGCAACCTCGTATGGACGTCTCTCTGTAGGTTCCGCGCTGGCCTCCATCAGCTTCCGCCGCGCTTCCGCAAGCAAAGTGGCCCACGCCTTACTCGTGCGGGCCATCCCGGGGTCGTTCGACAGCCTGCCGCCGCGGGCGACAGCTCGAAACCTCGACCCCTCGAGGCAGAGGGCCTCCAGGGGAGCCCCGCGCAGGCAGAGGACCGTCATCCTCGCCCTCCCCGCGCGCAGCCTGGTGGTTGCCCGGGTGGCTTCCGAAGATCGCCACGGCGGCCTGCCGAGGCCGCGCGGCCGCGGGCGCAGGCGCGACTGCCCTCCCGCCGCCGCCGCCGCCCCCGCGGGCGCGGGCGCCGCTGCCGCCGCGTCGCCGCCCGCCCCCTCGGCCCGCCAGGGGGCGCGGGGCACGTGCACCCCCCCCTCCCCTGGTCATCACCCCCCTCTTCTCCGCCCCCGATTCCAAGGGGCCCGAAGTCCAACTCGCCGAATCTCCCGGGCCTCCCGGCGTGCCCCCCTGGACCCCCCCGCGTCTCCCCGCGCGAGCTGGGCAGGCCCAGGAGGGCCCCAGAACGGGCCGAAAGCGCCCCAAGAGGCCACCAAGACGGTCCAAGAGGGCCTCGAGACGCCCAAAGATCGCTCCAAGACGCCCAAGATTGTCTCAAGATAGCCCAAGAGGCCTCCGAGACGCTCCAAGAGCCTTTCCAAGAGGCCTCGAGATGCCAAACTCATTGTTTGTGCTATAAGTTTTTCAATGATTTGGGGGTCCTCGACGTTTCGAGCTCCCTACGCTGAAAGACAGCCCAAGAGGCCCCCAGGACCGCCCCAAGACGGCTCAAGAGGCCGCCAGGGGTCCCCACACGGCCCAAGGGGGCTCCACGACCGCGCAAGACGGCCCAAGAGGGCTCAAAGACAACCCCGAGAAGGGCCCAAGAGGGGGGACAAGATCCGACACTCCGAGCCTTCCACCCCAAAAGGCCCCCAGGAGGCTCCAAGAGACCCCCAGGAGGCCCCAAGAGACCTCCAAGAGGCCCCGAAGACGCCCCAAGAGGCCCCCAAACCGCCCCCACGAGGGTTCAAAACGGCCCCCAAGAGGCCACCGAGAGGCCTCCCGCGACGACATCCCAACGAGCGTCCACGACGCCTCAGACCCACAGCCTGGGCAAGGTGGCGGCATGGGCCGAAGGCCAGTATGTACAAACACTGGCTATGGCTCGGACGTCCATTCCCTGTGTTTGTTTCGGTTTCGTGCGTGGTTTTTTCGCCAAATGATCAAGGATGCTCCTCGATGGCTCTCGCCGACGAAAAAATGCACATGTCCGAGCGATGCCGAGAGCAGGACGTCGTCCTCCCTCGGGTGCTGCTGGCCGCGCGACCGTCGCAAGCTCAGCGACGCGCCCAGGGGGGCGCAACGGGGCGACGCACCGCGCCGATCCAAGCGGGACCTCACCCTCGTCGGGGTGCCAACGGCCGCACGGAGCGTCGCCACGCTCTTGAGCTCCCGGTGGGGCCAGCGGAGCGACGCACTACGCAGATCCCCTGCGGGACCTCGTGCTCGCGAGTCCAAGCGGGGCCTCGTCCTCTGCGGGGACTGCCAGCCGCGCATCCGTGCTACTTCTGTGGGCACCCGGGGGGGGCCACCGGGGTGACGCGCTATGTACGCAGATCGAAGCAGGACGTCGTCCTCCCTGGGTCGTCCATCATGGGTACTGCCGACTGCGCAACTATCGCCTCTTTCGTGATGTCCTCGGGGGTCCAACAGAAGGGCGCCAAGTGCAGAACTAGACTCAAGTCGGGCGTGTTCCCCGACGGGCGGATTGTGGACGGAAGATACGAATTAGTCCAAACATGTAACGGAATGCTCAACAGCAGTGGACGAAAATCGTCCTCATACTATTTTTTACGATTTTCGCATGTTCCTCCTGCAGAGGGAAAGGCCCGACTGTCAACCAGACGAAGCTTCGCCTGCCGTGGGACCCGCCAGGCGGACTGGCAGCCGTCAGGGCCCCAGCCTTTGCCCGGGGTGCAGTCTTCGACGCGAGCTTCGAAGAAGCCGGCCTCACTGACAGCCTTTGGCCGCACCTGCACGCGACGCCGTTCAATGCCGTCACCTCGCAAGAACGCGGTCGTGATCCGCAACCCAGGCTTGCACGTTCTCGCCTCGGGGCCGCCAGCGGACTCGGCGTCGCTGGGCGGATCGGTCATGCCGGTGCGGAGCAGCGCACGGAAGAGGCGGCAGAGCTGCCCTGTGGTCTGATGTGCGGAGCGTTTCAGCAGCATCGAAGTGTAAGACAGCCCTTCGCCATGATACTATCCGTATGCTCCTCGCCAAGGGCGCAGTCCTCTGCATCACGGATTTGCCAGCCCTCGCCCACTCCATGGCCCGAGAACGCGCTTTTACGCTTAGGCCAGCGCGGAAGCCGTCCTTCCGGCGGCGCCAGCAGGTACACCTAGGTTTGGGCATCTGTGCGCGGCCGCTACTGCGAGAAAGGCGCGATTGAGTCTCCGAGGTGATCGTGCAACACTTTTTGTCGGCGCCCACTTGGATGACGAACGAACAACGCACACCCATACCCATAGGGAGGCCGGAGGGAGAAGGACTGGCTATCGGTATGGGTGCGGGTTGTCGGACCCCTGGGGAGGCTCCCGTTCGAGCGGGGACCCCCATCCGACAACACGCACCCATGGCTCATGTCGTCCCCCCTATGGGTATGGGTGCGTGTTGATCCCTCGTCGCTTGGATGCAAGCAGCGGTAGGGCCACGGCAGGACGCAACGAAGCAAAACTAAGGCGCAGCGCAGACAGGAGAGCGGGAAGGACGAGGGCAGAGGAAGAGGGAAGGGGCAGAGCGCGGTGGGAGGGCGATCGTGCAAAACAGGCCAGGCTCAACTCCTCCCTGGACGTCCAAAGCTGTAATCGAATCCATGAGCGCGGCCCGAGAGGCCCCGACCCCTTCCCAGGGCCAACTTGTCGCCCAGGACCGTCCGTGTCTGGGGAAACCAAACACCTACGCGTCGTTCATTTCTAATCGTGCCCTTTTTAATTTGTGCTCGTTTCTAACTGTTCCTGGCCCCCTAGTGGCCAGGAAGAGGCCCAGGAAAGAACAATTAGAACTGAAAAGAGCGAGGCCCCCCAAAAAATCAAAGAACTTTCGAAAACTTAGACATGAACCACGGACATCTCCAGGGGATGTTCTGAGCAGGATTCCGAGGCGGGGGCGAGCTCCGAGCAGTGTTCTCGAGGTGTGTGTGTGTGTGTGTGTGTGTGTGTGTGTGTGTGTGTGTGTGTGTGTGTGTGTGTGTGTGTGTGTGTGTGTGTGTGTGTGTGTGTGTGTGTGTGTGTGTGTGTGTGTGTGTGTGTGTGTGTGTGTGTGTGTGTGTGTGTGTGTGTGTGTGTGTGTGTGTGTGTGTGTGTGTGTGTGTGTGTGTGTGTGTGTGTGTGTGTGGTGTGTGTGTGTGTGTGTGTGTGTGTGTGTGTGTGTGTGTGTGTGTGTGTGTGTGTGTGTGTGTGTGTGTGTGTGTGTGTGTGTGTGTGGTGTGTGTGTGTGTGTGTGTGTGTGTGTGTGTGTGTGTGTGTGTGTGTGTGTGTGTGTGTGTGTGTGTGTGTGTGTGTGTGTGTGTGTGTGTGTGTGTGTGTGTGTGTGTGTGTGTGTGTGTGTGTGTGTGTGTGTGTGTGTGTGTGTGTGTGTGTGTGTGTGTGTGTGTGTGTGTGTGTGTGTGTGTGTGTGTGTGTGTGTGTGTGTGTGTGTGTGTAAGTGTGTGTGTGTATGTGTGTGTGTGTTGGTGTGTTGGTGTGTTGGTGTGTGTGTGAGTGTGTGTGTGTATTGTGTGTTGGTGTGTGTGTGTGTGGGTGTGTGTGTGTGTTCTGAGCGGGGGCGACGTGGGCCACCCAGGAGGCTCCAAAAGGGCCGCGGCACAGTCAACCCGTATGATGAGGGCGCACGGTGAGGATGCAAGGGCCTCGGAAGGCCACGTCGACACTTTGCAAGCGGGGCGCGGCAAACGAAAGTGGCCAATCCTCACTGTTCGGGTGGACTGTGTGGGTGCCGGTGCGAGAAAACGCCTCGCTTGAAGAGGAGCTCTTGCCTCGCCGGAGGTCTCTGGGCTCACCTCTGCCTCAAGCGGCGGGCGGGCGGGCCCGCCCGCGCGGGGGGCGGGGCCGTCCCGTCTGCGCAGTCGACGACGGCGACGACGACGAACACGACAAAAACGACGACGACGACGACGACGACGACGACGACGACGACGACGACGACGACGACAAAAACGACGACGACGAAGACAAACACGACGACGACGACGAAGACAAACACGACGACGACGACGACGACGACGACGACGACGACGACGAAGACAAACACGACGACGACGACGACGACGACGACGACGACGACGACGACGACGACGACGACGACGACGACGAAAACGACGACGAAGAACGAAAACGACGACGACGACGCCTCCAGGGAGCCCTGCAGAGCGGCGTCGGGGCCCAGGCCCTTGCCTCCAACCTGCGTCTGCTGCTGGAGGCGGCTCTTGGCTGGCGGGGGGGAGGGGGGCTCACGGGGGAGGTGCACTAGGAAGGGGGGGAGGACGGGGAGGAGGAGGAGCAGTAGGAGGAGGAGGAAGAGGAGGAGGAGGAGGAGGAGCAGTAGGAGGAGGAGGAGGAGGAGGAGGAGGAGGAGGGGGAGGAGGACGGGGGAAGGGGGGGAGGACGGTGCGACGAGGCCTTGAGCAGGTTCTAGGAACCGTCTGGGCGTCCGAGGGGGTTCGAGTGAGGGGGGGAGGGGAACATTCGCCCTCCTCCTTCCTGGCCGTGTGTGTGTGTGTGCGACGAGGAGCATGGCGCTCGGCGTGCTCCTTTCTACTAGCAGGGCCAAGCGGGTGGCGCAATGGACCTCACGGGGATCCACCACCTACGCCACCGCATGGCCTGGCCTCCGAAGCGAGAAAGATCGAGGCCCCAACCCCCGACGAGGGCCTCATCGAAAAAGGTGCCCTGCATGGAGGCTCAGGAGGAGGAGGGGGGGGTGCGACGAGGTCGTGTGGCAAATTATAGGAATCGTTTGGGCGTAATCCGCTGACAACCGACCCCAAGTAGGACCACTTTCCGAAGTCCGTCCAGCCTAGTCGTTCAAGGTAGACGGTTACACCTGTTTGATGGTCCCTGGCCCAAAACGGGGCTCCAGAGGCAGAACATAGCGAAAACGACAATCCAAAACCTTGAGCCTCAGGAAGTCGAGGTTCCCAGAGATCTCCACCGCCTGGCCTGGGGGCAACTGTGTCCCCCCGAGGCGATATTGTTAAAGAAAGTGCCCTACGTACGTCAAAATCACACCAGCCCTCTGGGCGGAAGAGGTTTAGCGCGCTTCCTCTTCCATCCCCCTTCTCTTCCTCGGGCAGAGGTTTTCGCTCGCCCTCCCCTGTCCATGGGGTCTACATTTTTAAGCGTCCAATATGAAGATGGCTCCAACATGGCCTCGGATACTCCAACATGGCCTCCAAGCTGGCTCAAAATGGCCTCCCGCGTAGCCCAGACAGGCCACGACACATCCACACGACCACTCCAAGTGGTCACGGGGCCTTACCCTAGAAACAACGATCGCTCCAGCACCTGGCGAAATTCCGCGTGTGGTTGCGCCATCGCCGTTTTCACTTACTCGTGCTTCAGCACCACGAACACCTGAGACGGCCCCGAGGGGGGGGCCAGATGGGCTCCAAGAAAGCACCAAGAGCGGCCGAGAGCGTCATGAAAAACAGGCCCGAGAAACGATGCTTCGGGCTCAGGATGGGCAGCGATAGTCAGATATACGCAAAAGCCTTTATGGGTGACAACTCGTTGTTCGCGACTGGGTGCCGCCCCTCCTCTTCACTACCCTTCCCCTTCATTTGTTCCTCCCCCAATCGGGCGAGAACCATCCGCCCCTCAATTATCCGCGTAACCGCTGCGACGCGTTAACCACCAACGTGCGTTGCGATGGTGAAGAGGTCGTGCCATGGAGATCGTTGGTCAATGCGAAAGGGGTAAAAAGGAGCAGGGCAGATGGAAGTTCCCGTCCCCCCTCATCCCAACATTGACTCGCAAGCCGCAGCTCTGAGGCATTCAGGTTCCTCTTGTCAACAAGCCTGTCGAAGATGACGGCACGCAGCACTTTGCTGAATTGAAACTCCGTCTGCGAGATTGAGGATGAAGGACAAGGAAATTCTGGGGAGGGAAAGGGAAGTAGAAATGGAGGACAAAGCGAAGAGTAGGACAGGGCGAGGGGTGAGGGTGGCACTTCCCGTTGCAGGAAGAGAGGGAGGAGTGCACAGAGGAGCAAGAGGAGAAGGAGAGGGAGGAGGAGCATCAGCAGTAGCAGCACGCATAGGATCAGGTAGGATCTGGCAAGGAGGAACACGAGGAGGGCGAAGAGGACGAAGAGGATGAACACGAGAAGCGAGATGGTGAGCAGGACGAGGGAATGGGAGGACGCGTGGAGGTGGGCGAGGGACAGGGGGGGGGGACAGCTCCGAGGAAGGGGGGGGGGGCGAGGACAGGAGGAGGAGGAGGAGGAGGAGGACGAGGAGGCGGAGGCGGACAGCGACGACGAGGAAGCGGGGCGGCCGCCAGGCAAAAGCGCGCTCCTGGAACAGCTCGTCGATGCCCTCCAGCTGGACGGCCTGCGCGGGGCGCGGCGAGAGGTGGGGGGGGGGGGACTGGCAGCGGAGGGCGGCGCCGCGAGGCGCGGCGAGGCGCGCGCGCGGGGCCGCGGCGCCTGAGGGAGGAGGGAGGCAGGGCAGGAGGAGGGCCGGGAGGAGGAGGAGGAGGGAGGATCATTCCTCCTCTCCTCCTCCTCCTCCTCCTCCTCCTCCTCCTCCTCCTCCTCCTCCTCCTCCTGTTCCTCTTCCTCCTCCTCCTCCTCCTCCTCCTCCTCCTCCTCCTCCTCCTCCTCAGGATAATGACAGGGCTGAACCTGGACGGTGTTTTTCGTTTCGTTTTGGTTTCGTGTTCCCTCGTGTTGTCTTCGATTCGCCGTCACCGCAAGACGACATCGAAACGAAACCGGCCCACGAGATCGCCAAGACACCGTTCAGGTCCAGCCCTGAGGAGGAGAGTGAGGGCTGGAGAGCGAAGGGTGGAGCGAGGAGAACGGGAAGGAGGAGAAGGAGGCAACGAACAACAACGGCGCTGGCGCCTGCGGGTCAATTATCCTCAAGAGCCTTCGTCTGGCCAGTCGAGTCGCCGCAGGGACCTAGAATGACCAACAACCGCATGAAGGTCATCTTTGGATCCGCCTGCAAGGGAATCTTGGGTCCGCATGTCCCTGCTTCGTAGCATCCGTCAAATACTGGGAGCTCCACTAAAGGCCCTAGTGGGAAAGTCCACCCGTTTCGCACAAACCTTCACACGCTCCGTGGCCTCATGAGGAGCTCCACCGAAGGCCCCGGTGGCAGCGGTCGCATACAGTAGGGGCTCGGCCACAAGAAACCTTCCACAAGAAACCCAACCATGAGACCCCAAGACGTCCGTTGATGTTTGGTGTGGAAACGTCACGCTTTCCATAGCAAATCCATCGAAACCCAAGGAACCCAGGGCACATTGGAGGCACAAGCATGGTGTTTCTTGGCATGGGTCTCCACTGTAGCGGCCTGGTGCCACTTTCGGCAAACCCCTCATACACCTCGTGGCCTCATGGGGATTTCTACCGAAAGCCCCAGTGTGGAGTTTCGGGACATCCCGGGCACACTGGAGCCGCACCACATGCGGCAACAACTCCAAGAACGCGCCACCGCGGCCTTGAAGCCATATCACGGCACGGACAGCAGCGACTCCCGAAGCTGCGGGCAGACCGCGGCGGCCGCGCGGAAGCCGCGGAGGCCTCCCGAAGGCCACAAGGGCGTCCCCCGAAACTGCCGTCGCGCAGGGCCCCCGCCCGCCGCACCGCCCGCGGCGGCGCCTGTCGCGAAGCTCGCTGCAGCACGCGGCTGCCGCGCGCACGGGGGCTCCGGCAAGACGCCCTCGCGCCTCTTGGGAGATCGCTGCGGCGCGCGGCCTGTCCGCGGCCCGTCCGCAGGGTTCGGGGGACTTGGACCCTTGGAAGTGGGCACCAACACCAGCACCAGGGGCTGCCTCCACGGGAGGGAGAGGATCCTCGATTTCGGTGTCGGTGGTAACCTTTCGGCCACCCTGGAGGCCAGAATATGACCACCATCACCGAGCTCGGGATCCTCTTCCCCCGGTGGAGGCACACCGCCGAAATCGGTGTTGGTGTCAACCTCTATCAGGGATGGAAAAAACGGCCCTACCCTGGATTACAAGTGCTTGGTCTGTAAACCTCCTGGGAACCCCCAAAGCCTAGAGCCGCCAGGACGCGGCACATCACGCAGGGTTTACCCTGTCAGGCCGCAGGAGTTTCAGCGCACAGCGCCTCGTAAACCAGGGTAGGGGCGTTTTTCCTGCCCTTGACTCTAGGCCTGCGAGAGTTCGGGGGACGCCTCTGAGGCGCTAAGCCGTCGGTCTCTTAAGGTCGCGGGGGCGCTCACCCTTCCTCGGGTGCTGCTGTCGCCGCGCTGCCGCCGGCCATCGGTCTCCAGGAGAAGCGCCTCCGTGGCGCCAGGCCCCTCGGGTTTCGGGCGCCGCGGGGAGGCGCCTCGCGATGGCTGCCGCCGCGCGCGGCTCTGACTACCTACCAGACCACCCCAGCCCAACCCGAAGACCCGAATTTGACCCGAATTTCGGGTTGGGGGGGGTACGGATACCATGTGTTTTTTCAACGTTCCCCGACCCCCCCCCCACTGGAAATCGAGGATAAATTTGGGCCTTCGGGTTGGGTTGGGGTGGTTTGGTGGGTGGTGAGGCTCCCCCCGAGCCCCGGTGCTGCGGGCAGAGCCTCCGCGGTGTTGAACTTTGAGGTGTAAAGTTAAGTCGGGCGTGTCTCCCTACGGAGGGACTTCGGCCGAAAAATACAAAATGATCGAAACATGTGCAGTACATGCTCCCAAATACTCCAAAAATAGTCTCCAGACTATCTCTCGACTATTTTTTGAAGATTCCCCCTGTAGAGGGACAGGCCCGACTTGAGCGTAAAGCCACGGAGCCATGTCCCGAAGTTCCTGCGGCAAACCATGTGAGCGACGAAAGGAAGCGGGTCCTACGCACGATGGCATAGCGACCTCACGCGGTGGCTGACGCGGGCCGCCAGCGCGGCACACCAACAGTGGAAGCGAGAACGCTTCCGCGCGACCTTGCGCGGGCAGCTTACGCACGAATGTCCGCACAACCGAACCCGTTTTTTTCTCCGTCGCTCGTACGCGGATTAGGCCAAGGTGATGTTTCCCGGGGTGCTTCGAACCATATGGTTTCAGCTCAGGGGAGCGCTGCCCGAAACTCGGCCCGCAAAGTTCGGCAAACGCCCCCGCGTGCTCCAAAAGAGTAAACTGTACTACCACTGAGGCGTTTCCCGAACCTCGCCTCGGGCTGCACTTTCGGGGAACGCCTCGAACCAGGGATATGTCGACCCCTATCCCAGGCTTTGGGAGGTTCTCGAATGGACCAGAAAATTGGGGCCCAACCCTGGGATGCACGAGGGGGGGGCGTTCATCCTCGATGAGGGGTGCGTCCGAATAGCCTCCTGGGGCCCGGGGGTGTATCCCAGGGTTTCCCTCCTTCTCTTGGCCGCTTCGTTTTTCGTCGACGAGCCGGGGCTTGGGATAAAAGCATCGCCGGTGAGCCTCCGTTGCGACGCACCCCTTGCTGGGCCTCCAGGGGCCTCCGCAACAGTGCGACCTTGCTGTCGCCGACCCTGCCGCGTGGGCGCGGCGGTGCCCCTGCGGGGTTCGCCCCCCCTCACCCCCCCAGGGTGAGGGCGCTCCCGCCGGGCAGGGGAAGAAGCGAGCGAAGGGGACAAGAGGAGCGGAGAGGTCAACTACACGCAAGAGTGACCTCTGGGCAGGAGTGACCTTCGGTGCGCGGCTTTTGGGGGGGGGGCCGTGGGAACCACACACAGGCGTGCAAGACGCGCTACCACCGCATCGCATTCGGCGGTCGGTTGGAAACCACCGGCCAAAGTTCACTCTTACGTGTAGTCTCTTGTCTGGCATGTCCCCCTACTGGCGGATTTGGGAGGAAAAAAGTGTTTCGTATATATATATATATATATATATATATACGTGTGTGTGAAGAAATAATGGAAGAATCGTCCCCAGACTATTGTTTGGCTAGTTTTGAATGTTCCTCCTGTAGAGGGATTAGCCCGACTTAAGTGTAGTCGGAGAGGAGAGGAAAAACCTCCTCCCTTACCCCGTCCTGGGCAAAGGCCAGGCCAAACTTGGACATCGACCTCGACCAAGCTTCGGAGCACCGCCTCGCTGTCTACACTCGTGACGCGTGAGCTCTCTAGTGCGTCTGGAAAGGATGCGCAAGCTATGTCTCTACACACACTGTGTGCCGAGCCTTCAGGGGGCAAGGCGGAGCTGGAGGGGTCTCTGCAATGCTCGTCTGTCGAACGCCACGCGTCACACAGCAGAGGGCGAGCGATCCGGTTTGCAGAAAAAACGCTCGCACTTGCTAAGCCTGAAAGATATCGCAGTGGTTGTCCTCTTGCTTTAGTGGCAGTAGGGCCAACGTTGCGTATGGATCGAGATTGCAAGGCGAGGTGCTCTCCCTGCGTATGTCATCTAAGACCCACAAATATGCTCGTCACCAGTGAATCCGCACTCCCCCCTATCCTTCCTCTTTCCTCCTCCCTCCCTCCTGCATCCCTCCCTCCCTCCCTTCCTCCTCCCTCCCATCCCCTATCCCATGAAGGAGGGTGGAGGAGGTCATGTAAGGAGGGCGGGGGGGGGACATGTAAGAAAAGAGGGAGGTGGTACACTGCCGACAAGTGGAGGACACCTGAGAAACTGGCAAGGTCTCAGACGACACGCCTATCAAACGACACTCCCTTGTCTTATCCTGCACTTTGCTGCCCCGTTACGCAGCACGCAACACGTAGCGTATTGGTACGAAAGTCAACACGTAGACTGAAAGCGTAGAGTAGGTATGACGCGATACGTTCGCCAACACGTGGGCCGATACGCTGAGCCACCACGCAACGTATTGACACGGACGTCTTGAGCACGGTACGTGTTGCGTTTCAAAACGGACGTATCGAGGCAGCTAAGAAATCTGCACGAAGGTTGCTTATACATGTTCCCCGGCTCAGGGCCCGCGGCCGCCCCCCCCCAGGTGGGTTGGGTCCCAGTGCCCCACGCCCCCCCCCTACAGATGCGACGGGGGCGGGGAGGCGACGACGGCGACGCCGACCACCACGACCACGACGACGACTGCGACGACGACGACGACGACGACGACGACGACGACGACGACGACGAGGTCGACGACGACGACGACGACGACGACGAGGTCGACGACACCGCAGCACCGACCAACACCCGCAGGGGGCGGGGGGGAGGGACCGCGGCTCCGCCCCACACCCGCATGGGGGCGGGGGGGGCCTGCTCGCATCCGCGTGATCGGAGAGGGGGGGGGGGGGGCGGGCGCGGGGCCGCCCGCCTCCCGTACTCCCCGCCCTCCCACCCTGGGGCCTGCCTCCTCCTCCTCCTCCTCCTCCTCCTCCTCCTCCTCCTCCTCCTCGTGCTCCTTCTCCTCCTCCTCCTCGTGCTCCTTCTCCTCCTCCTCCTCCTCCACCTCCTCCTCCTCCTCCAATCCTTCTCGTTGTCCTCGTCCTCCTCCTCGTCCTCCTCCTCCTCCTCGTGTTGCTTCTCCTCCCCTGGGGTCGCGGGAGGCGGCCGGAGAGCACAGGGTGTCCGCCGATGTGCAGGGAGCCGGCAGGCGACCCGAGCGAGACCCGAGCGGGCCCGAGGGGCCCCAAAGCGGCCTCGGGCTTGCCCGCGGAGTCCACAGGAAGGCCCTCGGGGCCACCGGACAGCCCGAGTGATTCAAAAAGCTGAGGATCACCCAAGGCTTTTCTGATCGGTTCTGGCCGCCCGTCGTATGGATGGATGGATGTGTGCATCGGTGCTTGGGAGAATGAGTGGATCGATGGATGCATCTGAGTCGGATGAATGGTTTGATGGGTGGACCAATAGATGTGCGGTTATCGGGCACCCTGGATGTTTGCCTACATCGATACCGTTGTATGCAAGATTGGGTGCATGATTGCATTGGTGCGTGAGTGGACGGATATATTTACCTATACGACCAGCCTTCGGGTAATAAGGAGGTGAGGGGGGAGGGACCAACGTCGCACTCGATCGATCTCACTCTCGACATCACTATCGATATCACTATCGATCTCACATTCGGTCTCACTATCGATCTCACTATCGATCTCCCATTCGGTCTCACTATCGATTTCACTATCGATATCACAATCGATCTCACATTCGGTCTCACTATCGATCTCACTATCGATCTCACAATCGATCTCACATTCGGTCTCACTATAGATCTCACTATCGATATCACAATCGATCTCACAATCGATCTCACAGTCGGTCTCACTAGCGATCTCACTATCGATCTCCCCTTCGGTCTCACTATCGATCTCACAATCGATCTCACATTCGGTCTCACTATCGATATCACAATCGATCTCACAATCGACGTCATCATCATCATCATCATCAGCATCATCATCATCATCATCATCATAATCATCATAATCATCACATCATCATCGGGACACCGACGGGACACCGGCGGGACACCGCGCGCCACCGGCCGCCCGGTGGAGAATCATTTGGTCCGGCCGCGCCTCAGCCACAGAGGACACCACCGGGACACCGGCGGGACACCGCGCGCCACCGGCCGCCCGGTGGAGAATCATTTGGTCCGGCCGCGCCTCAGCCACAGGAGACTTTCCTCTCGCCCGCCCACGCAGCTTCGCCTCGCCCGCACGCACGGCACGCACGAACACGAAACCGAAATCGATTTCCCGGTAGGGGGGCTCTCCGTTCCACTTCGATCTCACCCCCTCACCTCCGATCGATACGTGCCCGTTTGCCAGACAGAGCCAAAGCTTGTAACGAGCGCGCGCGCGCGTAGGGCGCGCGTGGATTTCACAATAGTTTAAGGAAGCACTATACAACGATATGTGCCAGCGATCATGTCGCCACCTGGTCAGCCCGAAATCATAATAACGATAACAAGTCAGGAGGAGGACATACATGGACAATCACGGATACTACGCACCACTATGCGGTACAATAGAGACCACGGGCGTTATCGGGCTAATCAGTGGTAAACTCAAGGGTCGCCGAAGTTCTTACCAGCCAAGTTCAACGGCGAGGGCGTCTTAACGTCTGCATCATTCGACGCTGTTGGGCCAGACTCAAGCGTCAGACGCCGCGGCAAACGAGATCCGATGTGAGCAGCTTCTGGGAGGACTCGCTTCTGATCGGTGATCGTCCTCGCCGAGCAGCCCTCCGACGCTGAAACCGGTGCGCTCCAGATGCCTCACGTAGAAATTGAGGTAGCGGAGGCCCTGCAAGGTATGTCCGTGAACGACTTTCAGGTCCACTCTTCCGAGATGCAACCACCTGGGCCTCACGGTGCTGGGCTCCGCTGCGCGGAACCTTGGCGGCGCACACAAGGGGGCGAGGCGAGGGCGTGGCATGCTTCGGAAAAGAAGTGGCAGTATGAAGAAGAAGAAGAAGAGGAGGATGACGACGACGAGGAGGAGGAACGAGGGCGTGGCATGCTTAGAAAAAGGAGTGGCAGTATGAGAAAGAAGAATAAGAAGAGGAGGAGGAGGAGGACGAGAAAGAGGAGGCGAAGGAGGAGGGGGAGGAGAAGGAGGAGAAGGAGGAGGAGGAGGAGGAGGAGGGGGAGGGAGGAGGAGGAGGAGGAGGAGGAGGAGGAGGCGAGGTCGTGGCATGCTTAGAACTTGCGAAGGTCCGCGCGGACTTGGATCGGCGCCGGGAGACGCCCCCCTTGGCACGCGGAGCGCGCCCGGGGCGGCGCCGGAAGGGGGCCGCCCGGGAGGGGGCCCGTGAATCGAGCTGGCCCCATCCGAAGGAACTCCAGGAGATGCTCCTCCTCCTCCTCCTCCTCCTCCTCTCCTCCTCCCCTCCCCCCCCCTCCCCCTCCCCCCCCCTCCCTCCTCCTCCTCCTCCTCCTCTCCTCCTCCTCCTCCCTCCTCCTTTTCCTCCTCCTCCTCTCCTCCTCCCCTTCTCCCTCCTCCCCCCCCTCCCTCCCTCCCCCCCCCCTCCCCCCTTCCCAAGAGGTTGGAAGGCTGCATTAGACTTGTGGATGCCATTACAATGGGCACTCTAATCATCCTGCCACTGAATTGATAATGTGTTCAAAATGTGTGAATATGTGCTAGACATGTTTCAAGCATGTTTGTACATGTTTAAAACAAGTCTGAAACATTGTTAGACATCTTGATATTATGCGGCAGCATGCTTCCTCTCCATCAATGGACTTCCACAACATTAGACCAGCGCGTTCCATTACTTGCAAAAGTAACTGCTCGCAAATGGCCTGGATCCGCCGCGGGGGCTCCACGACAACTTGCCTCGAGGCAAACATATGATTCTTCAGACGCTTGCGAGTAGGCACTTTGCAAGCAGTGGAACACGCCCAGTGACTCACACAGGAGGCGGGGGGCCGGTGAGAAGGGAAGGCCTTCTCAGAAGGCGGCGCGGGACTTCTCGGGAGCCCTCGCGCCCGGCATCTCTCCGTTCTTTTGGGTGAACAAAGCGGTATCGATGCCGCTACTCCCCAGACTTCTCCAGGGTTGCGCTCGGGCCAGGACTCCGAGGCGAGTCCAGAGGTGGCGACGAGGCAGGGGCCGCGGCATCGGGAACTCTTCCCTCTCCGATCGTTCGTCCCGCGAGAGCCTGAGCCCGCCAGCACGCCTCGCCTCCGCCCACTTCCCCGTGACGTTCACCTCCTTCGGCGACTCCGAAGGCTGATGGGCGTGTTTTCCACCACCACCACCATAAGTTGGAGGGGGTGGTCCTTCTCCTCCTCCTCCTCCTCCTCCTCCTCCTCCTCCTCCTCCTCCTCCTCCTCCTCCTCCTCCTCCGTGCTCTGCAGAGGTCGCGGTCTGCAGCCCGCACGCGCGGGGGGGGGGAGGGGGGGCGGGCCCGGCACTCGACAGCATCCTCCGCCACGCCCCGGGGAGGCCCGGCGAGTGCAACGCTGGGAAGTCGGGTCGGGCGAAAGGGGGGGATAGCAAAGGGGGGGTTTGAGAATCAGCTCACGTAGCTGATTTTCCCGGCGCCTCCCGGCGCTGGAGGCGGCTATGTATCGAGGAATGGGCCCCTCGGTGAGGTCGAAACCAGCTGCATGCAGCAAATTTCGCGACCCCCCCTTTCCCAATTCCCCCCCTTTCGCCCAGCCCGAGGAAGCTGGGCGGAGGCCGGCAAATCCGTGGCTGCTGAAACGGTCTTCCCGGCAGAAGAGAGCACATTCCCGGAAGCACACTCCGCGCACTGAATCCTAAGCGGGCTGCTTCACGGAGGGAAGAACAACAAGTTTCCGGAGCTCCGTTTTAGCAGCCACGGGTTTGCCAGCCTTCGCCCGGCTTCTGAAACGTGGTGCCGCCCCCCACGCCCCAACGACCCCGACCCTGGGGCGACGATGCGGGCGAATAGCAAAGGGGGAGCAGTACATGTATCCAAGGCGCCGATGGTTCATGCCTTGAGCGAAGCTCCTGGGCGAACTCATGCCATGCCCGCCCCTGGCGATTCGCCCCCATATCGTCGCCTCCAAACGACGCAGATTGCAAACCACACCCCGCCCGGCACGTCCACACCCTTAATCACTGCACCGACCTTACAGACGTGCTGTGCAGCGGATTTTTGGCGTGGAGTTCTGTTAATGCAAAACCCCGCAACGGCTAGTGAAAAACCAACGTTCATTTCGCGTAGACTTGTTTTAGTCTGCATTCCTGGTCCCCCCCCCCCACACACACACAAAAACAAAATAACAAAAAAACTCATGATTTACCTCGAAATCCGGAACGACATTCTCCAGGACGCTCTGGGCCCATCCGATCGTTCTCCGAACGAAACCCGCCCTGCGATGGCGCTACAGTCGGGGCGTTGACCTAAGGAACCTTAAAGAAGGAACGAGGCCCCTTGATCCAAAAGGTAAGCTTGGATTTCCCATGGAAAACCTCAGGGAAACAGAAGGCAAACTGTGGAACAATCAAGGGACACCGAGCCCCTCCCAAACGAAAAGGGTTCCTTCCTCAGGGCCCCGACTGTATGACCCTTTAGTGGACGCCGACTCCTGGAAGTACAGGTCCGAGCAGCCGCCGAACCTCTGCGCCCTCGCCTCGGCGCGGAGCAGGGTGCCCGCGGTGCCCACGCCCCTCGGGATGTGGAGCAGGACGTGCCTGCTGGCTCCTCCTCGTCCTCCTCCTCCTCCTCCTCCTCCTCCTCCTCCTCAGATTCATCCTCATGTGCATCCTCATCAAAGCCCTCCTCCTCCTTCACCTGCTCCTCCTGCTCCTCCTCCTCCTCATCATCATCATCATCAGCATCATCATCACCATCACCATCATCATCATCATCATCATCATCATCATCATCATCATCATCATCATCATCATCATCAGCATCATCATCATCATCACCATCACCATCATCATCATCAGCATCCTCATCATCAGCCGCAGCCTCAGCCTCAGCCTCAGCCTCAGCATCATCACCATCATCAGCAGCATAAGCAACATCACCACCAGTATCATCATCAGCGGAATAATCAAGATCATCAGCATCATCAACATAACCATCATCATCAGCATCATCATCACCATCATCGGCCTCATCAGCATCATCATCCTCACCACCATCATCATCATCATCATCATCATCATCATCATCATCATCATCATCATCATCATCATCATCATCATCATCATCGTCATCATCATCATCATCAGCATCAGCATCATCGTCATCATCATCATCAGCAGCAGCATCAGCAGCATCATAGTCAGCATAGTCATCATAGTCATCAGCATCATCATCATCAGCAGCAGCATCTGTAGTAGCAGCATCATGATCAACAGCATCAGCATCATCAGCATCAGCATCATCACCCTCGTCATCATCAGCAGCATCATCATTAATATCATCAGCATCAGCATCAGCATCAGCATAATCGTCACCAACAGTGTCATAATCATCAGCATCATCTCCGTAGCCACGTTGGCTGAATTGTATTCCTCTCCAGATCTCTCGCAGGCGCCCACTCTCTGCGGTCAGCGGTGCGCCATTGGGAGATAAGCAATGGGGCTGCCCGCAGGAGCGACGGCGGGGCGGCCCGTCAGGCGTACCCGTGCGCTGCGCAGGAAGGAGGAGGTCGATGTAGGCGCCTCGGCGGCCCGCCGTCGGGCGCGGGCAGGGCGCCTCCTCGCGGCCGGGTCGGCAATCAACAAGGCGGACAGAGGCGGCTCAGGTTCCTGGCAAGACCGTGAGGCTGCTGCGCGCCCTGCCTTGCGCCTTGCCGCCGTGGGAGGTCGCGTCACGGGCGCAATAAGGCGGCGGCGGACCGCCGCGTGGCACGCGTTGCTGGCCCCTGCGGGCGGATTCGCGCTCGCGTCCGCAGCGGGCACAGCGCGGGCCGCCGCAGGCCCCCGCCTGAGCTGGCTGCCCCCGCTCCCTGAGGCGGCCGCGGTGTCCCTCGGCGACTTCGAGGCGGCACCCGAAGAGCACTGTCAGGCTCTCGGTGCCGCGGACGAGGACCTCTGCGACGGAAGGCTGGAGGACCTGAAGGGAGGCTCAAGCGCAAGCTCGGCCTGAACCTGGACGAGGACGAGGCCCTCGGCGAGGACAGGCTGGACGACATGAAGGGCCTGCACAAGCGCGAGCTCGGTCTTGACCTGGACGAGGACGGAGGCCTCTCCGAGAGCAGGCTGGAGGACCTGAATGGCGTGTACAGGCGCAAGTTCGGTCTGGACCTGGACGAGGACGAGGGCCTCTGCGACGGCAGGCTAGATGACCTGAAAGGCCCGTACAAGCGCAAGTTCGGCCTGGACCTGTGCGAGGTCGAGGGCCTCTTCGAGGGCAGGCTGGAGGACACGAAGGGGCCTGCACGAGCGCAAGTTTGGTCTGGACCTGGACAAGGACGAGAACCTCTGCCAGGACAGGCTGGCTGAGGACCTTGAGGGCATGCTCAAGCGCGAGGTCGGTCTTGACCTGGACGAGGACGAATGCCTCTGCGAGGACAGGCTGGAGGACCTGAAGGGAGGCTCAAGCGCAAGCTCGGCCGGGACCTGGACGAGGACGAGGCCCTCGGCGAGGACAGGCTGGACGCCATGAAGGGCCTGCACAAGCGCGAGGTCGGTCTTGACCTTGACGAGGACGAAGGCCTCTGCGGGGACAGGCTGGAGGACCTGAGCGCGTGCACAAGCGCAAGTTCGGTCTGGACCTGGACAGCGGCGAGGGCCTCTGCGAGGACACGCTGGAGGACCTGAAGGACCCGTGCATGCGCGAGTCGAGCCTGGATCTGGGCGCGGCAGTGGGCCTCTGCGAGGACAGGCTGGACGACACGAAGGGGCCTGCGCACGCGCAAGTTCGGTCTGGACCTGGACGAGGACGCGAGGACAGGCTGGAGGACCTGAAGGGCATCCGCGAGCGCAAATTCGGCTGGGACCTGGCAGGTGGAAGGTCCCGAAGTGATGGGCCTGTTTTCCACCACCACCACCATAAGTTGGAGGGGGGAAGGAGGAGGAGGGCAAGAAGGAGGAGGACGAAGAGGAGGAAGAGGAGGAGGAGGAGGGGGTGGAGGAGGAGGAGGAGAAGGGGGAGGAGGAGGAGCAGGATCCCCCTCCAAGTCATGCTGGCGGTGGTGGAAAACAGGCCCGTCACGAAGGGCCCGTACAACCGCGAGCTCAGCCTGGACCTGGGCGAGGACGAGGGCCTCTGCTTCCTGCCTGCGGACGAGCTTCTGGAGGCAGGGGCCGCCTCTCGGATCGCCCTCGCAGCGGCCAGCATCCTCCTGGAGTTCCCACTCGATGCCCCCTCCAGGCCTTTGCCGCCTGAGCTCGCCTGATGTATCGCCTGGCAGCACGAGCGGCGTACTAGCCCGCAAGAAAGCGGGCTGGATTGCTCGGATGTCGTGTCTTCCGCTTGCTTCGGCCGGGGCGGGGGGGGCCTCTCGGCACTCAAGTGAATCTGCGTGGGTGTGCCGTGGCGCACGAAACCGAGCGTTGCCTCCGCAGGGCCATAGGGAAACGCCTCGGTCCGAGGGGCAGTATGAGCAGGAATATAATGTGTCCCTTTAGACGCTGGGATCATCATCAGCAACATCAGCATCAGCATCGGCATCAGCATAATCATCGCCAGCAGCGTCAGCATAATCATCAGCATCAGCATACCCCACATACTAATCAGCATAATCAGCATCGTCATCCCCTTTATCATCATCAGCATCGTCATACAAATCAGCATCGACATCAGCATCAGCAGCAGCATCCTCATCATCATACTCCTCATGCTCATCCTCGTCATCATCAGCACGCATCATCACCATCATCATCATCATCAGCATCATCATCATCATCATCAGCATCGTCATCATCATCATCATCATCATCATCATCATCATCATCATCATCATCATCATCATCGTCATCGTTATCATCATCATCATCATCATCATCATCATCATCATCATCAACATCCAGATCCTCATCCTCATAGCATCATCAGCACCATCATCACAATCATCCTCATATTCATCATCATCCTCATCCTCGTGCTCATCCTCATCGTCATCATTTATCATTATCATCGTCACCGCGATTCGCCATCATCATCATGGTCATCATCATCATCATCAGCAGCAGCAGCAGCATCAGCATCGTCATCATCATCCTCGTCATCATCATCATAAACATCATCTCCTGCTCACCCTCTTTCTGGTCTCTCGCTTCCTGCTGCACTTTCGCCTCCCCCTACTCCTCCTCTTCCCTTGTCCTCCTTATTCTCCCTTTCCTGCTCCGCCTCCTGCTGCTGGTCTTCCTGCTCCTCCCTCCTCCTCCTCCTCCTCCTCCTACTCCTCCTCATCCTCCTCATCTCGCCTGCCTGCCGGCCTGCATCAGGTCAAAGCGCTCGCCGTTGATGTTCTGCAGGTGCGGGTCGCCAGTGCCCGATACGGGGCCAGCATTTGCACCATGGCTCTTCTCCATGATCACACCCGAAGAGTCAACGGTGGTAGTGGTTGTGGTGGTGGTAATGGGCGCGCAAGTGGAACTCCCGTCGCGAGCGAAGAACTTGGACGTACCAGACATGATGAAGTTTCGACCCCACTGCTGAACGTGACCTGCAGGACTGCGGGTCAGTATCTGGAACCCGACGTCGAACTCGCTCGTGTTTGAGAACTCGACCATGAAACATCTCTTCGCCTGGTCCACAGGAACAGCAGTCTGGTCTGGACAAGTGACGTTACTCAACTCATTCGAGTCTGTCGGATTGTCACAACTGTGGCCAAACATCCGCGAAATTGCCTTGACGCCGAACTTACCTCCAGAACTTGAGACGTACCTGCGGGAAGTTCTGCCCGGAACCATCGTTGGAATCGCTTCCGTAGTGTACTCTACTGGAACAGGGTTTTCGGTGAAAGAAGTTCCGTGCTCAACTAACTGCAAAACATAATCGATGTCTCCATCGACCGTGTAGAGAGCGCTGATGCCATCGAGCATTATAATTTCATTCTCCCCATCAACGAAATGGTCAATGTCGCAGAACGTGATCTTCGGCGACTCCGGAATCACAGGGCAGAAGGTATGGTTCCTTACAAATTCCCCTTTCAGGGTGATGGTCTGACCAACTAGGGTATTCACAATCGCCTGAGGCCCAATAATCGTGTTCCAGGCTGTGTTCCTCGGAATATATGCGCTTGTGTTGACCAAAACTAGATCGTAGACTACCCCATTTGAAAAACGCCCGACTCCATAATACCTTATCTCCTTGGGCGTGTCCACGTCTGGACCCAGTCCACCAAGATTTGAATGGGGGTTCCTGACTCCACTACCTAATGTGTGAAACTCGATCCAATCTTCACAATGGCCAGGGCGTTCAAATTGTTCTGGAGGAGGGCACTCTTCGGGACACACGCAACACATCAGCCCAGAAGTGAAATCTTCATCGTCGTAGTAAGGGTCCAAGCAAATACCAGCATATGGACTTTCAGCATCGTGAGTATAGACTTCGCATCCATTGCCGAACCTGTTCGTAGCCCCGTTGTCAGTGTCTACACACTGTGCAGGTGCAGCCGGGGAAGGGGCATTCGCCATACAGTCTAAGTACTCGAGCTCCTCTTCTCCCACTGCGCGAAACACGGTTGCCTTCACGCCCATGCGCCGCCCCCTGAAAACTGCGAAGGAGAGGGGGAGGACGAGGAGGAGAGGGAGGGAGACGAGGAAGCGGATGACGCAGCGGGGCCTCGCAGGCATGACTTCGTCTAGGCATGAAGCCCCAGAAGGAAGGGACTCGACTTGACAGTAGAGCGTGGAATCAAGGGCTCCCGCCAGCCCTTTAGAAGAAATTGGATGGCTTAGGGCCTCACATTTCGCACAACAGCTCCTTACTCCCCGTTGCGGGGAGGGCGGGCATCCATGCCCCTACCCCCGTCCGCGGGGGTCTGGGCCAGCCACTTATGGGGGTTCAAGAGGGCCCTGGAAGGCTCCAAGATGGCCTAAGACCCTCCTGACAGCTTCCAAGATGGGGACGAGATAACCCAAGTTGGGCCCAGTGGACGGTTCCCCCAGGGGTGAAGGAAACCTGAGGGGAGGGCGAGGAGGGGGAGAAGGAGGGGGAGGAGGAGGAGGAGGAGGAGGAGTAGGAGGAGGAGGCGGAGGAGGAGGAGGAGGAGGAGGGGGAGGAGCGAGGAGGAGGAGGAGGAGGAGGAGGAGGAGGAGGAGGAGGAGGAGGAGGAAGAGGAGGAGGAGGAGGAGGAGGAGGAGGAGAAGGGGGAGGAGGAGGGGGAGGAGCGAGGAGGAGGAGGAGGAGGCGGTGGAGGAGGAGGAGGGGAAGACAACCCACGTTGGGCCCAGATGGTCCCCAACACGCCTCGGCCTTGCCGCTTTGGGTCTCTTGCGCACGGCTGCTTCAGGCATTGCAGCTCCTGCCCCGTCTAGCCCCTGCCCTGGCCGGCCTCTGAGGGCATCGATGAGTTCGGTCTTGGTGCGTCAAGCGAGTTTCACGGCAAATCCCTGCTTGCCCCAGTCGAGCCAAAACACCGTGCAAAGTCGAGGTGGCCAATGTCCGGCCGGTATGGCCCAGATGCTGATCAATCTCGCCAAACGACACTGCTGATTATGCGAAAGTCATGCTTGTGTGTCTGTGGAGCGCGTTTCTACATTTTCGGCGATAGTGGGCATTACAGGGGGGGAGGGGCCAGGGGGGGGGTATAATGTAGCGCCTCCCCCCCGCCGTTCGCACGGCGGCAGTGCCTGGAGCGCACTAGGGGGGAGGGGCGTTTTACGTTAGGGGGGGGGAGAGGGGCCGGGGGCGGGGCTATAATGCCCGCTATGCCCCAAACAACAAAAAGAAGCACACGCCATCTGGCACGAGGCATGCGGCGCAAGCCACACGGCGCAAGCCGCGCGGTGCGAACTGCGTGGTGCGAGCTCTCCGTGGTGCAGGCACCGTGGCGCAGGCTGCGTAAGCCTTGGACCGCCCACAGGAGGAGGAGGAAGAGGAGGGAGGAGGAGGAGGAGGAGGAGGAGGAGGAGGAGGAGTAGGAGGAGGAGGAGGAGGAGGAGGAGGAGGAGGAGGAGGAGGCCTCGGGCGAGACCTCGGCGCCCTTCCGGCGCAGGGGCACCGACGAGGCGCCCACGGGCGGGGCACCGCGGGCGAGGCCTCGGCCGTGCCCCCCGGAAGCGCGGGGCGCCCGCGAGAGGCGCCCGCGGGCGGGCCAACGGGCGGAGCCCCTGCACACATCCCCCAGGGCGAGGGGCGACCTCGGGCGGGCCACCCAGGCCCCAGGCGAAACCCTGGCATACAGTCGGGGCGTTGACCTAAGGAACCCCAAATAAGGAGCGAGGCCCCTTTTTTTCCATAAGTTAAACTTCGATTTCACATCGAAAACCTAAGGAAAGCCTAGGGCACGCTCCGAAACAGTTAAGGAACACGGAGCCCCTCCCCAATGAAAAGGGTTCCTTCTTCAGCGCCCCGACTGTACCCAGCGGATTTCCTGGAGGAAGAGAAGAACTCCCAGGTGCAGGCGAGGTTCTGAAAGATGCACGAATCAGCGGCTCCAACACGAGGCAAACGCAACTTCGTTGGCGTCCTCTTCCTCCTCCTCCTCCTGTTCCCCTCTCCCTCCTCCTCCTGTTCCCCTCCTCCTCCTCCTCCCCCTCCTCCTCCTCCTCCTCCTCCTCATCATCATCATCATCATCATCCTGTTCCCCTCCTCCTCCTCCTCCTCCTCCTCCTCCTCCTCCTCCTCCTCCTCCTCCTCCTCACCCCTCCTGCTCCCTGACGTCCTCCGCCTCCTGTTCCTGAACGTCCTTGTCCTGCTCGTCGTCTCCGTCTGCAGGGTCGGCGGCACCGGCCGTGAGGCCTTCGCAATAAGTGAACCAGCGACTCCAACACAATGCAAACGCAACTCCGTTAGCGTCGGCGGCGGGATCGGAAATACACATGTTCCGCGCAGGTTGAATGTATAGTTTCGCTTCGGTTGTTAAAGTATGTTGTGATTAGGGTTACGTACTTCGAAGAATGATGCCCCCGAGATGGCCAACGCAGGCTCCAAGATGTTCCTAAGGCGGTCTTCGAGCCTCCGAGGTTCATCCCCGAGACACGGAAAACATCACATCAGCTTGTCAATGGACTTCGTCTTCTCGCCCAGCTCGTTGTCCGATGGCCTCGGTGGCCTCTGAATGGCTTGAGACAACCCAAACAGGTCAAGAGGGACCATATGATCTTCAAACCGAACATTGCAGAAAAACACCAAGAGCGAGCCCCACCATACCCCGGCTCCAGGCGGGGACGCTCACGAAACACCTCTTGTAGTGTCGATTGCCTGCAGTATGGTCCCAAGACGACACGTCCAAGCGTAATCGAACATACCCCCTAAATGGCCCAAAGAAAGACCCCAAAGGCAGGCCCTGAGAAAGCGTCAGGATGGCTCCGTGAGGCCATCAAGCAGGTCACTCTGGGCAGCTGCTTGGGCTGGTCCCCCCTTGGATCTGACTGGCCCCATCCGATTCGTTTCTAGATTTACGTCGGGCATGTCCTCCTACATGCGGATGTTGGACGAAAGATCAAACATACTACAACAAATATCCCCAAACTGATCAAAACATAGTCGAAAAAGCGTCGCCAGACTATTGTTTGACTACTGTTGAATCGCCCCCCTGTAGAGGGACAGGCCCGACTGCATTCTAGAGGGCCCGTGTTGGGGAGAGGTCTGCGGGCAATACGTATGTCTATATCCACTGCAGTGTGGAGTTTCGGGCTCCCTTCCCAAGAAACCCGAGGCGCACTGGGTATGGATAGACTTGCCCCCTATAGAGGCTCGACTTTTATCCATATCCAGTGCGCCTCGGCCTTGTGGCGCGGCTCCCAAAAACGTCTACGAGGCATTGGATATGGACGTGAGTCTTCGGGAGACTCTTCATGGGGGGGGGATCCCATGGGGGGATAGGATCCCAGGGGGGGGATCCCATAGGATCCCCTGGGGATCCCATGGGGGGGCAGGAGGGGATCCCATGGGGGGGATCCCCTCCTGCCCCCCCGTGGGATCCCCCCCCATGGAGAGTCCCCCCCATGGATGGGATCCCCCCCATGGAGAGTCTCCCGAAGTCTTGCCCGCAAAGGTCGAGGCGGCCGTGCGGCCGGCCAGGGAGCACCAGAAGGGGGGGCCACTGGACGGGCGGATGGCAGGTCGCAGCTTTCGGCGGCGCGCCCAGGGGGGGGGGGAAGCGAGCACGACGGGCCTGCTTTCCGCCACCACCACCACCATGAGTTGGGGGAGGGGCTCCTCCTCCTCCTCCTCCTCCTCCTCTCCTCCTCCTCCTCCTCCTCCTCCTCCTCCCTCCTCCTCCTCCTCCTCCTCCTCCTCCTCCTCCTCCTCCTCCTCCTCCTCCTCCTCCTCCTCCTCCTCCTCCTCCTCCTCCTCCTCCTCTCCTCCTCCTCCTCCCTCCTCCTCCTCCTCCTCCACCTCCTCCTCCTCCTCCTCCTCTGCGTACTCCTCCTGCTCGCCGTCCTCCTCCTTCCCCTCCTCCACGACTCAGTCGCGCCGAACAGAGATCCCGCTTACCGCCTCCCGTCCGAAACCCTAGGGATGTGGATAAGAGCGTGGATCTCTGAGCCTCAGGTTCGAGGGGGCATCGAACGCACCTGGCCAGGGCTAGTCCAGGAGTTGCCCGCCAGACCCGAGGCTCGGAGGTGCAGACGTGTGCGAGGACCCCAGGCCGCTGTCACCATTCATCTTCTGCAAGCTGGTTGGGAACCCCACCAGCCTGCAGCTTGGGATGTGCCTGATCGCACCAGCGGATGGGTTTTTCAGACTGAAGCTTTGACAGGACACGAGGCCATCGATGTCCCCAATGAGTTCTGTCAAGAATGTCAGTCCTCAATACAAGCAGATCTCTGACGCAAGGCAGCGTTGAACTTCGGAGGCGCAGGGATGGAAGACGGAGTATGCAACCACAGTTACAGGCAGCTGCTGAAGCAGCTAGAACAAGCACCTGGAGGCAGAAGACTCGCTGGCCTGTTGCTTGCGGCTGCAGCGGGCGCTTCCTGGCCTGGGGCTAGAAGACAAGCACGTTGTAAGCAGCAGCTATCGGTCATCTGTGCACGATGCAATCAGGAGGAAGAGACGAGTTTCCATAAAGTGTGGGGTTGTTCGGCGAAGGCCAGCAGCCCAGTGTACCAACTCAGTGATCAGTATTCAGCCAAGGCCTACATCCAGGCTGAGGCGGACTAGTGTTTCTGGACCAGAGGGCTCATCCCAACAAAGTGGATTGCAGTGGAGCCGCCTCCAGACCACGAAAGAGGGGTTTTCCGAGATGAGTCTACAATCGCAGATCTTGTCCCCGGGACTACTGAGGGACCATGGGTTTGCTTCGGCGATGCAAGTGGCGGGAAGGCTACTCTGTCGCCCAGGCTACGTCGAGTGGGCATGAGACTTTCAGTATATGACGAGCTGGGCGAGAATATGCAGATGGTCTGTGGTGGTTGGGCTGCGTTACCTGGCATGAGGAAAACCGTATCTCGTGGTGAGTTGTATTGCCTCTGGTATGCGATCAGGACCGTACCTGGACATGCGTACTATGTGACGGAGAATGCAGCACTATGTTACTATGTTCAGGATGGCACGAGCAGCAGTAGCGATCACCGGCGGGCAACGATGCAAATCTGCGGTGCAGTATCGGGCGCGAGCTGCACGGCAGGAGGGAGATCACCGTGATGTTCGTCAACTCCCACCTCGAGCTGGACCAGGCCTCGGCTCAGAACCTGCGGTACTCCATCGTCTGGCCATCGCTCGGACGTCCATTCCTTGTGCTTTTCTAGGTTTCGTGCGCATTTTTACTGCCAAACGATCAAGGATGCTCCTCGACGGTCCTCGCCGAGACAAAATGCACACGTCCGAGCGATGCCAAGTCGTCGTGGGCAATCGCGAGGCTGAGCGCCTGGCCGCCTGCGGCGCCGTGCTGGCGCGCCCGGCGGAGGCCGCCCGAGGGAGAGTGAAACAGGTTGAGAGTATGGCCTTCGCCGCTGGGACGAGGATCCCTCGAGGGCTACGGGCCGTGAACACGACCACAGCCACTGCTTTTCCTTTGCCGCCGCCGTCCAGCCAGCAGGAGCAAAGCAGTGGCTGTGGTCATTGTCGTCAAGCTCGCACCAGGGGCATGGCCACAACCACGGCTTCTCTTGCGGCCGGCTTGGAGGCGACGCAAGCAAGCAGCAGTGGTCGTGGCCAGTTTCCCGTCCCACAAGAGCACCCTCGAGGCCATCAATGCTGAGGAAGCTCTCGGGCGTGCATCCAGGCAGCAGCGCAGGGGGCGTCGCACCGAGACCGGTGGTGTGGTGCCACCCTCGCCCGGCGTTTGTGTGCGCCCTTTTCCGCTTCCGCCCATCAGTTGGGTGAGAATGGTCGTTCGTGCACGAAGTGTCGTGGGTCAGCCTCCCACGCTCGGAGAAAGGTGTGGCTGGACTCACCATGCTTTGATGACCACTTAATTATAATGTGGACGGCGAGGTGCTTGAACCTCCTGCTGGGGCCGGGGTGCATATCTCAGGGGGGGTTGCTCACCACTCGCACGCACTCAGGTTGCACAAGAGGGTAGGGGTGTGGTTCTGTAATGTCTGTGGGTGTTTCGCGGCCGAACGGCTCGCGAAAACTTAGTGAACAATGTTCAGGCCGCCTAGATGGTAATCGAACTGATTACCGTAAGCGAATCTAACAGGGTCTCTGGCCCAAGGCCTTCAGCAAGGCCGAACTCGTAGAGAGGGCGGCTCAGCAGGAGCCAGTGTAGAATCACCTTCCCCCCTTCAGCTTATGGTGGTGGTGGTGGTGGAAAACAAGCCCATCAGAGAAGGGGCCCGCCTCCGCAGAAGGCTGGGGAGCCTTCTGAGAAGTTTTCTGAGCCTTCCCCGGAGACACAACACAAAACCTCTCAGGAGGCGCGAGGGCTTCGGAGAAGTCCCGCGGCCGTCTGAGAAGGAATCATCCTCCCCACTTCCCCCCTCCTCGCTCGCCAAAGTTTGACAACCCCGAGACAGGGACCAAAGTCCCGTCCCCTGCGCAGGGGTGGCCCAACCTGTTGCTTTTGAAATGTCTACCAACGCCAATCGCAGGCAGTCTGCCTGAAGCCTTCAGCTTCGCGCGCAAGGCGACAGCGAAGCTCGAACAGACGCTATCTCCGAGCTCAAGCGGAAAAAACAAGGCAGCCTGAGTTGTGGTAGTGGTAGAAGTTGTGACCGTGGTGGCTGTGGTGGTGACAGCGGTGGTGGGCGTGCAAGTCTGGCTTCCCTCGTGAGCAAATAGCTTTGAGGTCCCAGACATTATGAAGTTTCGTCCCCACTCTTGAACGTGACCTGCGGGATGGTAGGTCAGGATCTGGAACCCAACGTCGAAATCGCTCGTGTTGGTGAACTCGGCCATGAAACACCGCTTCGCCTGGTCCACGGGAAAAACATGATCTGGGCACGTAACGTTGGTCAATTCGTTTGGGTCCGTCGGGTTGTCGCACTCGCTGCCAAACATCCGCGAAGTTGCCTTGATCGCAAACTTGCTGCCGGAGCTGGACACGAACCTCCGAGAAGTCCTGCCCGGAACCAGCGTGGGGATCGTTTCTACGACGTACGACAATGGAACCTGATCTTCGCTGAACGGAGTCCCATGCTCATACAACTCCAGAAAGTAGTCGGTGTCGCCGTCGACCGTGTAGAGAGCGCTGATGCCATCGAGCATTATAATTTCGTTCTCCCCGTCTGCAAAATGGTCGATGTCGCAGAACGTGATCTTTGGCGAATCTGGAACCACAGGGCAGAAGGTGTGGGTAACCACAAACTCTGCCTTAAGGGTGATAGTCTCACCGACCAAAACATTCACCGTCGCCTGAGACCCACGAACCGTGTTCCAGCCCGTGTTCCTCGGTACATAAGTGCTTGTATTGACAAGAACTAAATCGTAGAGGACCTCGGTATCTGACTCATTTGAGAGGCGCCCGACATGATAATATCGAATCTCCTTGGGCGTGGCCACGTCTGGACCCATTCCACCAAGGTTTGAATGAGGGTTCCTCACTCCACTACCTAATGTGCTAAATTCGATCCAATCCTCACAGCCATCGGATCTGGCAAATGCATCTGTCGGGGGGCACTCCTCGGGACAGACGCAACACATTACCCCAGATGAAAAATCTTCATCGTCGTAATACGGGTCCAAGCAAATACCTGCATATGGATTGTCAGCATCGTGCGTATAGACTTCGCACCCATTCCCACGCCTGTTCGTAGCCCCATTGTCAGTGTCTACACACGGCGCTGTTGCTGGTGCGGAAAACACCTCTCCCCTGTTTTCTATGTGTTATGCTTTCGTGTTCCGCACTGCGCAAAACAAACGCGGCTGTCGTCACGCTTCTGCGCCACCCCCATGGAGCAGATAGGTGCAACAAACTATGCACGAACGAAGAAGAAGAGGAAAATGACGACGGGGAGATGGAGGAGAAGAGGAGGGGGCAGCCGCAGCGGGGCTTGAAGGTTTGAGTTCCACTACGAAGCTCTGGAAATAAGGAGCTTGACTGCATAGGCAAGGGAGCCGGAATAACAGACTCTCGCCAAGTCTCCAGAAATCCACCAATCTGTCGGCGTGCGGGAGGGGCTTGTCCATTCGAGTCGTCCTCTTCGTCATCCGTTTGTCGTCGTCTCTGCCGGCTCCTTTCTGCGCGACCCCCATTTCCATGGGCCTGTCGCGCTTCCCTCCCTTTTCCTGGGCCTCGTCCCCAAGCGCGCCCGCCAAAGCGAAATCGAATACGCAACGTCGTAATTCAATCGAAGAGAAGCCCCCTCCCTCCCTTAGATCCCTCCCCCGTCGGGGGGGGGGCCGGGGTGAGTCCTGGGGGGGTCCCGGGGTGGTCCCGGGCTTAGTGGTCCCTGGAAACGACAGGGCCGTTTTTTTACCGGTTCCGTTTTGCCGTTGTTTTGCCGGTTCCAACACCGTTTTTTCACTGGTTCCGTCGCCGTTTTTTGACCGGTTCCAGCTCCAGTTCCAATCCTGGAGCCGTTTTTTGCTGTTTGCGGTCGCCGTTTTTTTGCCGTTTCCATTTTCAAGGGACATTTGATTGGAAACGGTGAACAAACGGCCCTGCCGTTTCCGGGGCCCACGGAGGTCCCGGGGGGATCCTGGGGGGTCCCAGGGGGGGGTTCAGGGGGCGGGTCGCCACCCACCTCCCGCGGGGCCCTGGTCCCACAAACGCCCCAGGAAGGGCCGAGTGCCCGAAGAGGCCCCCAAGACGGTCCCAGACGGCACCGCATCGCCGAACGATCTGTCCAAGACGCTTTCACGGCTTCCTGAAGGCACACGAAGCCTGCAAAACGCCCCAAGTGGCATCCAGGAGCACTCAAAGAAGGCCCCGAGAGGCAATATTCATGAACTTCTCTTCGGTTTTTGAAGTATTTTGGCGATCTCGCCTGTTCCGCTTCCCGACGCTCCAAGAAGGCCCAAGAGGCCCCCAAGATCGCCCCAAGACGGCCCGGAGTCCTCGAAGAGGTCCCTAACATGGCCCAAGAGGGCCCCAAGACGGCCCGAGACGCCTCCAAGACAGATACCCAAGACGGCTCCAAGAGGGTGCCCAGACGGGGGACCCGACCCCACATCTCGAGCCCTCGCCCCCGCTAAGCTCTCAGGAGGCTCCAGGAGGCCTCGAAGACGCCCCCAAGAAGCCCCCAGGAAGCCCCTGGAGGCCTCCAAGAGCCTCCAGTTCCTCCGCCTCGTCTTCATCATCCTCCACCTGCTCATTGCCCTTCTCGACCTCCTTCTGCCCCAACTCCCCCTCCTCATCCTCCTCCGCATGCTCTTCCTCATCCTCCCCCTGCCGCTCGAGTGCGTCCTCCTCCTGCTGGTCCCCCTGCTCCTCCTCCTCATCCTCCTCCTCCTCCACCTCCTCCTCCTCCTCCTCCTCCTCCTCCTCCTTCTCCTCCTCCTCCTCCTCCTCCTCCTGCTCATCATCATCATCATCATCATCATCATCATCATCATCATCATCATCATCATCATCATCATCATCATCATCATCATCATCATCAGCATCATCACATCATCATCATCATCATCATCATCAGCAGCAGCAGCAGCATCACATCATCATCATCTCATCATCATCATCAGCATCAGCATCATCATCATCATCATCATCATCACAGCATCATCATCAGCATCATCATCAGCATCATCATCAGCATCATCATCGGCATCATCATCAGCATCATACTCAGCATCATCATCATCAGCATCATCAGCATCATCATCATCAACATCATCATCAGCATCATCATCACCATCATCATCATCATCACTTTTTCACTCCTCCTCGTCCCCCTCCTTCGCATCCTCCTCCTCCTTCTCATCATCATCATCATCATCATCTTCATCAGCATCATCGTCATCATCATCAGCATCATCATTATCATCATCATCATCATCATCATCATCATCATCATCATCATCATCATCATCATCATCATCATCATCATCATCATCGTCTCACACCCTCATGCACTCTCAGGGGTGGGGACCTTTGCCTTTTCGCGCCCAGATTGTGAGGATACCTCAGGCTGTTTGCCTGAGTGGTTGATCAGACTCCTCTCTGTTCACACCCACCCATGTTCACCGCGATGTAGCAGGCGTGGCGTTCAAGTACCCCAAGGAGGAGCCGCCAGGGGTGGAGACATGTGCCCGTTCACGCCCAGATTGTAGGGATGTCGGAGGCGGATTGCTTGCTTGGTTGATCAGATTCGTCTCTTCTCATAGCACCAGACTCAGCGCGATGTAGCAGGCGTGGCACTTCAGCCCCCCAAGGAGGAGCCACCAGGGGTGGAGGCATTGGCCCCTTCGCGGCCAGATTGCGGGGAGGTCCCAGGCTGTGTGCCTGATTGGTGGATCAAGCTTCTCTCTTTTCCATTGGAGGAGCCACAAGCGGTGGGGACATTTGTCCGTTCGCGTCCGAATTGTGAGGATGTCTCGGGCGGCTTGCCCAGCAACCGCCTGAGACGGGCTAAGATCCTCAGGCAAAGATGCTCACAGACAGGAGTGCCAGGAACTGGCATGCACATATGGGGATCCCCGCGTCGAATGATAGATGCATGGGCAGGCGGGCATACACGAAGCGCCAATAATCCGTACAACAATCTCTTCCAGATGCTTTCACAGCAAACGTACCATACTGTCCCCCCGCACGAGTCTCCAGTCAATACTGCCAGATATAGAGTGGAACTCACCCGTATACGTCGATGCTTACAACACCGTTCTGCTCGCGACGCTGCACCACGGTATTGGGACGAGTAGAGCAGATGCAGGGGGCAATGTGCTGTACGATACAGAAACAGCAATATCAAGGCGGCCTACGGCGGGGGGGGGCCCTCTGGAACCCGTTGGTTGTCATGAAGGGCGGTCCCGCAGCCATCTGGAGGGCTTCAAAAAGCTCAGGTCTGAAGCGAACGAGGTAAAAAGTTCGAAACACTGGTGGACTTCCGATATCCTGGCAGATGTTGGTCTCGTGAAGTCTTATAGGAGGCGACTTGCGAGCTTCGGGGGAGGGACTTCTGGATGCCTTCGGACCAGCCCAATATCCCTGTGAAGCTGCATCTGAGAGTATTGTTCGTAGCCATCAGAGGCGACAGCGACGCTCGAACCGAGGTCATCTCCGAACCCCTGCGGAAGAAAAGAACAGCCTGAGTTGTGGTAGTGCTAAAAGTGGTGGCAGCGGTGGTAGTAGTGGTGACAGTGGTCGTGGGCGTGCAAGTCTGGCTCCCCTCGTGAGCGAATAGCCTGGACGTTCCAGACATGATGAAGTTTCGTCCCCACTCCTGCACGTGACCTGCGGGATGGTAGGTCAGGATCTGGAACCCGACGTCGAACTCGCTCGTGTTGGTGAACTCGGCCATGAAACACCGCTTCGCCTGGTCCACGGGAAAGGCATGATCTGGGCACGTAACGTTGGTCAACTCGTTTGGGTCCGTCGGGTTGTCGCACTCGCTGCCGAACATCCGCGAAATTGCCTTGATCGCGAAATTGCCACCGGAGCTGGACACGAACCTCCGAGAAGTCCTGCCCGGAACCAGCGTGGGGATCGATTCTACGACGTACGACAGCGGAGCAGGGTCTTCGCTAAACGGAGTCCCATGCTCATACAACTCCAACGTGTAGTCGGTGTCGCCGTCGACCGTGTAGAGAGCGCTGATGCCGTCGAGCATTATAACTTCGTTCTCCCCGTCTGCAAAGTGGTCGATGTCGCAGAACGTGATCTTTGGCGAATCTGGAACCACAGGGCAGAAGGTGTGGGTAACCACAAACTCTGCCTTAAGGGTGATAGTCTCACCGACCAAAACATTCACCGTCGCCTGAGACCCTCGAACCGTGTTCCAGCCCGTGTTCCTCGGTACATAAGCGCTTGTATTGACTAGAACTAAATCGTAGAGGACCGCGGTATCCGACTCATTTGAGAGGCGCCCGACATGATAATATCGAATCTCCTTGGGCGTCGCCACGTCCGGACCCATTCCACCAAGGTTCGAATGAGGGTTCCTCACTCCACTACCCCATGTGTTAAATTCGATCCAATCCTCACAGCCGTCGGAGCCCGCAAATGCTTCAGTCGGGGGGCACTCCTCTGGGCAGACGCAACACATTACCCCAGATGAAAAATCTTCATCGTCGTAATACGGGTCCAAGCAAATACCTGCATACGGATTGCCAGCATCGTGCGTGTAGACTTCGCACCCATTCCCAAGCCTGTTCGTAGCCCCGTTGTCAGTGTCTACGCACGGCGCAGGTGCTGGTGCGGAAAACACCTCTCCCCTGCTTTCTCAGTGTTATGCTTTCATGTTCCGCACGGCGCAAAACAAGCGCGGCTGTCGTTACGCTGCAGCGCCACCCCCGTGGAACAGATAGGTCCAACAAAATACGCACGAACGGGGAAGATCATCAAGAGGACGACGGGGAGATGGAGGAGAAGAGGAGAGCGAAACCGCAACGTGGTGCAAGTGCGGGTGGGGAAGACACCTCCCCCATGCAGCACACCCGTGGGTTCTGTAGGAAACGCTGGGAGGGGCGCCGTCCCCCCGCAAAACGGCCCGAAAGATTGACCCGCGGCGCGGACAGCCACCAGGCGCAGAGGAGGGGAGGTTCACCCCGCCGAAGGGGGGGGGACCCCCACGCTCATCACCGAACGCAGAGTCGTTGATCTCTAGATAGGAAGATCGCGCTGCGCGATGTGGGGTTGTCTTCACGCACTTGCGCCGCCCCGCCGAGGAAGAGTGAAGAGGACGAGAAGGAGTGAGAGTGAGAGGACGTAAGAGGATGAGGTGGGGTAGACGAAACAAGACCTCGAAGGTATGGGTCCCAATAGCCATGACGCCCTGGAGGTCAGAAACTTGACTCGACAGTGCGGCCTGGAAGGCAAACAAAACAGAAACCCAAGTAGTGTATTCGAATGGTTCGGGGTAAAAGTTCTCCCAAAGCAACCATGTTACCCTTGAGGGCGGGGGGCCCACCCACCTGACCTTCTCCTAGGGTGTCTGGACTGGGGGGGGAGGGCGCGTCCAGTTCGAGCTTCGAAGATGACCCTCACTGGCTCCAAAGTAGCCCGAGATCACTGCTTTCAAGGTGGAACAATACGACCCAAATTGGCTCCAAGTAGACTCCGGCATGCCTCGACGATGGTCCAAGAAGGCCCGAGGAAGGCCCCCAATGGCCCCGAGGTGACCCTCGAGTCCTCCAAGAACACCCCCCGAGAGGCACAAATCATTGCAACAGCTCATACATTAGTTTCGCCGCCTCGCTTGTTCGTTTCCCGATGGGCCTCGGAGACAGCCCCTAAAGCCAACGAGTAATCCAGAATAGCCCAGACGAGCCTCCAGAGATGCCTAAAGAAACTCTCCCACACCTGATGCACAGCAACGGGATGCCTATACTGGGGGCACCAACAGGTACTTCCTGAAGCCGCTACTCCCTGGACCTCTCCCGAGGTGCGCTCTGACAAGAACTTCGAGGCGAATCCAGCTGTAGCGACAAACGCCTCACAGGAGGCCCAAAAAGAGGAAAATGAAGCAAGGGTAGCGAGCAGTGTGGGTACCTCTTCCTCCTCTGATATACTAGCCGTTGCCGCTGGAGCTCGACCTGAAGTTATTTCCGAGCCCCTGCGGAAGAGAAGGCGAGCCTGAGTTGTGGTAGTGGCAGTGGTGACACTGGTGGTAACAGTGGCCGTGGGCGCGCAAGTCTGGCTCCCCTCGTGAGCGAATAGCCTGGATGTTCCAGACATTATGAAGTTTCGTCCCCACTCCTGCACGTGACCTGCAGGATGGTAGGTCAGGATCTGGAACCCGACGTCGAACTCGCTCGTGTTGGTGAACTCGGCCATGAAACACCGCTTCGCCTGGTCCACGGGAAATGCAGTACCTGGGCACGAAACGTTGGTCAACTCGTTTGGGTCCGTCGGGTTGTCGCAGTCACTGCCGAACATCCGCGAAATTGCCTTGATCGCAAACTTGCTGCCCGAGCTGGACACGAACCTCCGGGAAGTCCTGCCCGGAACCAACGTGGGGATCGATTCTGCGGTGTACGTCAGTGGAACCAGGTCTTCGCTGGAAAAAATGCCATGCTCATACAGCTCCAACGTGTAGTCTGTGTCGCCGTCGACTGTATAGAGAGCGCTGATGCCATCGAGCATAATGATTTCATTCTCCCCGTCTGCGAAATGGTCGATATCGCAGAACGTGATCTTTGGCGAATCTGGAATCACTGGACAGAAGGTGTGATTCCTTACAAACTCTGCTTTAAGAGTGACAGTCTCTCCGACCAGGACATTCACGGTCGCCTGAGATCCACGAACCGTGTTCCAGTCAGTGTTTCTTGGAACATAAGCGCTTGTATTGACCAAGACTAAATCGTAGACGACCTCATTGTCCGACTCATGTGAAAGGCGCCCAACATGGTAATACCTAATTTCTTTGGGCGTGGCCGCGTCCGGACCAAGACCACCAAGATTTGAATGAGAGTTCCTCATTCCACTACCTAGCGTGCGAAATTCGATCCAATCCTCGCAGCCGTCGGAGCCCACAGATGCTTCTGTCGGTGCGCACTCCTCTGGACACACGCAACACATCACCCCAGAGGAGAAATCTTCATCGTCATAATAAGGATCCAAGCAAAGATAGTCATATATCATATAGAGTTCGCACCCGTTGCCAAACCTGTTCGTTGCCCCATTGTTAGTATCTACGCATGTCGGTGCTGGTGTTGGTACTGGCTGCTGCATCGCATGTGCCCGTGATGACCTGAACACTCGCGTCATTGTATGGTGATGGTGCGAACTGCCTGTGACTTGCATACCATAGGTATCGTTTTCCACTTCAAAAGGCACAACAAATGTTTGAATCATGACCGCATCTAGAACAGTGGCACTGTCACAAGACGAGAGCTCGCGCAAGTCGTTCGGCATGTTTACACCTGCGGCACACGTGATATCACTTAGAACACAGACGATGGCAACCACAAGCGCCTGCCTTGCGCGGCACAACGAACGCACAACCATGCGAAATACAAACATCCATGCGTGTAGTGGAAGGAATGTGTACGGAAAGTATGTGAGTGCCCCGCAGACGGGGTAAGTAATGTCTCGAGCCAGCACGGCCAAAAAGGAGGAAGTAGCGAAGGACCATGGAAGGTAGGAGAAGCATGAGGAGGGCGGACACAACCAAGAAAACCAACCTGCGCGGAAACGGGTGGATCCGTCAACTGTGGCGTCGGACAAACGAGCAGATGCGCTGGGGACGCCACGAGCCATGGGGTCCACCACAGCATCGGGCTGGGCATCGGAAACGGCGCCAACCCTGATCCAACAGGCTCCAACCCCAGGTGGGCGGCTTGGGTAATTGGGCGCCCTCCCCAGCCTGGGCCAGAAGACCAATTCGTCGTGAGGGGCAGGGCTCAACGGGGAAGCCAATCCTGGGCTCCGAGGCTTCCCCCGAAGACCAACGCTTCAGCCCGGATCACGCCCTGCCGGTCCTTTTGGGCCCAGGGGGGGCCTCGCGAGCCAGACAGAAGCTAAGAAAAAGCTCGCCCCCCCCCCCCCCTTTCAGCAGTTACAGGGAGTTTGAAACAAACAAGGAGTTTCAAAAACAAGGAATTTAAAATTCTAGGTTGCCGCGCAGAGATCGCAGCCCCGAAGCGGGAAGATAACAAGACTAGATGTACACAATATGCATACTATTCTCCTCGCTCCCCCCGAAGACGCCAGTCCCCCAGAGGCCCCCGAGAGCGCCTCGAAGACACCCCAAGAAGCATCTGCAGCTTTCCTGAAGCGGCCCCCCCCCCTCGGTCCTCCGCCTCCTCCTCGTCTCCCCCCCTCCCGACGAACGCCAGGACGGCTCCAAGAGGGTATCCAGACGGAGGACCGAACCGGACATCTGCAGCCCTCGGCCCGAAGAAGCTCTCTGGATGCCCCTAAAGGGTCCTCCTGCTCTTCCTCCTCCACCTCCTCGTCGTCGTCTTCAGGGTCGGCGGCACCGGTCGTAAGGCCTTCTCCAGCGGACGGGGACACATCGGGGATCTCTCGTCGGCGGCGAGCCCAGGGGGGAAGTGAGAGCGGGCGGGCCTCCTCAGAAGGCTCGGAAGGCCTCGGGGAGGCTCGGAAGGCCTCGGGCCTTCTGAGAAGTGCTTGAAGCCTTCACCGAAGGCATAGAAGCCTTCCCAGAAGGCGCGAGGGTTCCTGAGATAGGGCGAGGACGATGTCGTGAGAAGATTGGCTCAGGATACGCTCCAAAATTTCTGGGGTATCTAGCGGCGCCGCCGGTACGGAACATCGAGGCATCTGGGAATTCCTGGAAACCGTGGACGTCCTGGAACGTATCATTATCATGACCTCTTGCTCCTCTGATGAGCAGCCGTTCTGTATTGCCCCCAGGTCCTGGGCCTGTTTTCCACCACCACCACAAGTTGGAGGGGGGAAGGATGTGGAGGAGGAGGAGGAGGAGGAGGAGGAGCAGGAGCAGGAGGAGGAGAGGGAGGAGGAGGAGGAGGAGGAGGAGGAGGAGGAGGAGACCCTCCCCCTCCTACTTATGGTGGTGGTGGTGGAAAACAGGCCCATCACCAGGCGCGCCGCCGATCTTAGGTCAGGCGGCTCGGGCGGATGCACAGGACGCCGCGGCTGCTCCAGAGCGCTCCGGAACACACTGATAGTGCTCCAGAACCCTCCAGTGGTGGGCTTGCTGTCCACCGCCACAACCCTCAGCAGGAGGGGGAGGGGTTCCTCCTCCTCCTCCTCCTCCACCTCCTCCTCCTCCTCCACCTCCTTCCCCCCTCCAACTTCTGCTGGTGGTGGTAGAAAAAAAGCCCATCATCTAGACCGATTCATCCCGGTCGTGGTCTCGCCCGAAGAGCTGCCAGCGTTCCGACCACGAGAGTGCTGTTTCATCCCCCCACGTAACGTCGGGAAAGGGGGGTAGGGTGGGGAGTCGGGCCTGCGAGTGCCACAGCATGCGCGTGAGCACCAAAGCATGCCAGTCAGCACCACAGCATGCCTATGAGCACCGCGCCATGCCTGTGGGGGAAGCCGCACACCCCTCCACGCAGGCTCGGCACCATTACGGGGAGAGAGGGGAAGAGGGGGGAGGCGAACCCCCGTAACGGACGTTACGGATTCAGCGTATACCAACAATCCTGGCTCCGCCCAGAGAGCTGTCGGCACCCAAGCATGCGCGCAAGGGGGACCACGTGGGCCCGCACCAAATGTCAATCAGGCGAAAGGTCACGCATAACTGGGGAAACAGCTATCGATACCGCCACTCCCCAGACCTCTCTCGGAGTGCGCCCTGACCATAATTTCGAATCAAGTCGTGGCGACTACTGCCTCTCAGGAGGCCCGAGAAGGCGAAATCGGGGCACGAGTGGCGGTAGCGGTGCCCTTTCCTCCTCTGAGTTCTGGCGAACTCGAGTCTCACGATGAAAGAGCAACACACGCTCAACCTATAAGAAGGAGGAATGGGGAAGGGCAATGTGATGAAGGCGCGATAAGCATGCGTGCGGGTGTTAGACCCCAAGAGGGGTTCCCGCTCGAGCGGGGATCCCCATGGACGATGTTCAATGGAAAAATAATCCGATCAAAAATCCCCAGACGACCCCACAAAAAACCCGTGCTGATTGATGACGACAAGACGACCTGAACCGGACAACCCCATGGGACAACCCGAACAACCCCCACGGGGACAACCCCCCTTGGACAAGCCTCCCCGAGACTTCTCTGAAGGGGCCCTGGGACACACACAAATAAACAGATACAAATGACAGGATTCACAATCTTTTCCCATACTTTCTGGGTTTTTGTCGTCCCCCCATATTTTCCCATCGCTTCTGGGAAATCGACGATTCGTCGTGTCTGTGTGTGTGTGTGTGTTTTCTCTCCCGATTCTCTTCCACAGCAGGCTAAAAGCATGGGTGCGGATTTTGCCAGCCTTGATGGGCCTGTTTTCCACCACCACCACCATAAGTTGGAGGGGGGATGGACGAGGACGAGGAGGAGGAGGACGAAGAGGAGGAGGAGAAGGAGGATGAAGAGGAGGAGGAGGAGGAGGAGGAGGAGCATGAGGAAGAGGAGGAGGACGAAGAGGAGGAGGAGGAGGACACCCTCCTGCTCCTCCAACTTATGGTGGTGGTGGTGGAAAACAGGCCCATGAAGCCTCGCGCGCGGCCCACCGCGGCCCCCTCCCGCCGCGGCAGCCTCGTCCCGCGGGCTCCGCAGCATCCGCTCCACCGCGGGCGGCAGCCGGCTGCCCGCCGCCTCGGCCAGCGGCTCGGCCTCCGCCCGCGCGCGCCGCCGGGCGCTCGGGGCTCTTCTCCGCCTCCTCCGCCTCCGCCGCCGCCTCCTCCTCCTCCTCCTCCTCCTCCTCCTCCTCCTCCTCCTCCTCCTCCTCCTCCTCCTCCTCCTCCTCCTCCTCCCCTCGCCGTCCTCATCATCATCCCTTGTCGGGAATCTTCTGACCCGGGTCAGTCCAGACCCGGGTCAGCAAGAAACCAAAAAAGTGCAATGCAGGACACAAAAGCTGCAACGCAGGGCTTCGCAAGCCCGGGTCCAGCCAATCTGCGCGGCCGCCTCGCGGCCACGCGGCGGCTCGCTGACCCGGGGCAGCCAGAGGGGGTTCTTAGCAGGATCCTGCAGGATCTGGTGCCCTGGCTGACCCCCGTCTGCATGGACCCCCGTCTCTTGAGCTCCGAGGCGCGTCGTCGTGAGGGCGCCCAACGGGGGCCCGCCCGTGCCAAATTCTCAGGTCCAGAGTTCTAGAGGCCGAAGCTTCGACGCTGTTGAGTTCTCAGCTCTAGGAGGACGACCATTGCTCCCAAGAGGGCCCCACGAGGCCCCCAGGAGAGCCCCAAGACGGCCAAGGGCCTCCAAGACGGCCCGAAAGGGCCCCAAGACGGCCCAGAATTGGCCCAAAGGGGTCCCCAAAGGGCTCCAAAAAGGCACCAAGAAGACCCCGACGAGGCCCAAGAGACACTCGAGAACACCATGGCTCCCATCAGCGAGCGGATCCCCCCCTCCGGTGCCCATGTGGGTTTTTTCAGCTGAAGTGCCCCTTCTGGAGCTCCACCCTGCCGGTGGCCCACACACTGCGTGTTAGCGCCAACGTGCGCGTGTCCATCGAGGCCCATCGATACGGCATGGGCGTCGCGATACAGGGGCCGACACAAGCTGGGGGCCGCCGGTGGGGCCGAGCGAGGTAAACACACATTGGGCAAAACACGTCCTGGGGATGATCAGCCCTGCTTATTACAATGGAAGGTCTTGAGGTTCAGACTGCGACCCTTGTCCCCAAACTACTAAAACAAAAGCTCCCGCCTTGTACATTCTCACAACGTATTGAAGAATCGCCCTTTCGCTCGGGACCTCCTGGCAGCTTACCTACGAATCACGCTCTCGCATCGGACTTCCTCGCGAGTTATACAGACGTCGCGCTCGACACACAGGAATCACGCTCTCGCTATGAATTTCCACATGATTAACTTGTGAATCGCGCTACCGCTCAAGACTTCACCGCGATTGATGCGGGACTTGAGCTTCAGCGACCAGACCGTTCGACCCCGCCGTCTGGGCCCGCCCGCCCGACCCGCCCGCTAGGGTCGGCCCACCCGACTCGCCCGTCCATCTCGTGCCCCATCCATAGGGACCCCCGTTGTCCCTTTCCCTCCTCTCTGCCCCTGTTTGAACGGGCTGCGCCAATTCCATGTGGCAGCGCAGGAATGCATAACCCGAGAACGGTATGATCGAAGACGAAGAGGGCGGGCACCGAGGGCTTGGGAAACATAACATGAACGACACGCGAGCGGAAAACAAGTATCAATATTGAAATGAGTGTTGTTGTGTCGGTGTTGTTGATGCTGTTGATGTTGCAGCTGTTTTTGTTGTTGGTGGCGGAAATATGTTTGCTGGTGTTGCTGGTGTGGTTGAGCACGCATTTCTAAACCCTCTCGTCTAGAGAATACCCCTTCTCGGCCAGCACAAGATTGACAGATCGATCTGGCTCGAGCGCGGGCTACATA